GAGGGTCAGCGTAAAGGAAAGGGGTGGGGAGTAGCGGAGGGAGGAGTGGAAGGCGCCAGGAGAGAAGAAGGGAGGTAATGTTGGCGAGAGAGTCACTGAGAGAGGGTGAGAGCCGTAAAGATCAGCGGGCAGAGAGAGAGGGAGCGTGAGAAGACGAAGGAAGCTGGCAGTAAAGAGGCCCTTTAACTGGAGATCCAGGGCAAGCCAGAGTGGAGCAGGTGGGCCCTGTTGTTGTCCAGTAAGGAGGGCAGTACAGCATACCTAGGCCCTTTAGGGCCACGAGCATGGGACAGAGCCTCTCTCTGGAGACTGCATCTCAGGACTCCAGCACACACACCGGTGAGTCACATGCGCTTAGTCGCTGAGGTAACAAAACCTTGTAACTTTTAAAGGAGAAAGAGGAAACATCTTTAATGTATGCTAATGTAACAAGATTTTTGCTGCTGTTGTAGGAATATCTTGTATATAGGAAACACTAACTTCAGTTGTGTTCCGTTGTGTGTTTCTTTCAGTGAAAGAAAACGTCTTTAACACCTGTAACTGTAAGAATTACACTTGAAAGATGTGCTTTTCAGTTTTTCTATTACTGTGTTAGTTGTGACATGTCCTACAATGTGAAGAACAGCTGTCAAAAAAAAAAAATCAATATAAACAAGGGGAGGAAAGTGAGGTTTTCATACGAACTCAATGATGTACACCATCTGAGGTTATAAGTAGCTGGAACTGCTGCAGGAGTCCATTGTTTTCTGTGAGGAGTAAAATAGAATCAGAACATGGCCTGTGTGAAATCTCTACTACAGAGACTCTCATTCTGTCTGCATGAAAGCAATCAGATGACAGTTCTAAATCTGGATGCATCAAGCTAAATGGAGACTCTACATGTAAAAACAGACTATTAAAACATACACAAGTGCTGAGGAGGACTGTCTCTTCGTAGTACTTCTGCACTATGCTGTTGGACTGGCTCCAGTCCTGTCCCTTTAAGCAGTGGTTTTCTTTCTTATGAGCTCTTATCTCTGAAGCTTTCAACCTCTAAAAGTCTGACCTTCATGGTGTTTCTAGAATCACCAGATGTTACTACTTTTCTTGCTTCAGCACTGAAAACACTTATTTTGGCTCTGAGGAGTATTCATGTCCAAGAATTGTTTGGTGCTGGAGTTCCTGCTATTGTGATTCTCCAGTCATTTCCAAACAATCTGGGTTTTCTTGCGTTCACTTACATTTTCTTGATTACATGTCAAGGAAACTGATTTGCAATGGTTAAAGCATCCTTTAGTGTTTGTGTTTGTTTGCAGAGACACAGATTTAAATGTTGACTTCATCTTCTTGCTGTTTTTCCTTTTTTCATGCAGAATGATGACTGAACTAATTAGAGAAGATCATTTCTTTGCTGTGCAATTTGTGTTGCTATCACAGCTATTTTTATAACTCTGTAAAGTGGAAAGATTCTTCAAATCATTTCCAGTAACCACAGTAACAGTGTTTATATAAACAAGTATGTTTTGGATTCAGATTGATGTTCAGATTTTCACTGAGATGTTGCATGTGAGGCCTAACAGTCTTGCTTCAATTGTTTTATGTTTGCCATTAAGGCAGTGAATGATGCATACATATGACCTAACCCCATGTGTATTCCACACTGAGTTTCTTTTTGAACTGATCAGAGGCTTGTCTCACAAAGCAGGATTTCTTGCTTAGCCAGCTAACTTTTAAAACGTTGTTCAATCCAACCTCGAATTTTCACAGCTGCTATCTAGCTACCCCTTTGTAACATTTGCAGCAATTGTGAAAAATGCTGCTTTTTAGCGGAGGAACAAAAAAAAAACATTCTACATAAATATGAACACTATAAAGCATTTTAAAGCAATTAAACCTGGATTGATAGAGAATGTTTTTGGAGTAGACTTCAAATGTGTTTTGCTAGTGTTGAAATTTGCTTCTTACCATTACATCACATCCTCTCCTCCCTGATAGATTGGGATCCTTCTCCTTTACCAACTAAAACATAGTTTATTTATGGAGAAAAGCCTCAAACCCGAATCACAATGATCACTGAAGTGTTTTTCCTCAGTCTGGAGGGAGAAAGAGACGTCATCAGTGGCAGAGACAAAGCACAGCTGAGGGTCTCTTTCTGCGAGCAGGACTCTATTAGGCCCCTAATGCTCCTCAGCCAACTGACCAGCCAAACAGTACGGCTAGGTTTCGTCTCACAATACAGGACTCTTTGTTTCTTCAGCAGCCTCTCCTCAGGCTTTGCCCTCACTATCGCTGGATTCACTTACGGCTACTTTTCTGTAACACAAAATGTCATGTTTCTGGATGCTTTACGAAACACTTATCAGTGCCTACAACAATGCATTACAGTGGAGCTAAGCTATGAAGATGACCGCTTATGTAGCCTTGGCCTTAAGTTATTGTTTTTCTCGGGGTAACTTTGCTGAGTTGTAGAATAGACTAATGGTTTAAGTAGCAGCGCTACTGGACATGTGATGATGTTTAACATCACACTTGCACACTAGCAGTGTGTTCTGAGTGGGCCTGGCAGTGTGGCTGGTTAGGGGAGGGGTTGTTGAGTGCAATCACGAGAGGGAAGAGGAGAGGGAGGGTGGTGTTCCTCATGAGTTCTCCCACCGGAGCCACGCTTACATAACCATACAAGCTGCTCCAGGCTTCATGCCTGCCTCTAAACCAATGATACAGCTATCTTCTCTCTCCTCCCTTAAACAAACAGCATTCGCACCTGATTCTTCTGCCCTGGGGCTGTATGTGCACACAGCCCCCGCGCTGTTTTCGTTTTGATTTACATATTAGGGCTACACAATACAGACCAAATACCATATTGCAATTATATTGCAGCATATGGCACTTGTGATATGCCTTCCAATTTACCAAAAGCACAACCTTTTTAGGTTAACCTTTGATGTGACAAGTTAATGACTGGCCTGTGTTATTTTTGATTGAGGTCGTTGATTAGGGGCACTGGGGCTTTGCCCTACTTGTAACCGTACAGAAAAATAAGACAGATAATGTTATTTGGAAAAATATAAATGTTTTCCTATGAATAACATAATTTGGGTTAATATGTATATGTAAATGTGTAATAATAATAATAAAAATACATGTGTAAATATGTAACAAAAAAAAAAAATTGCTGGCCACCGGTCACAGCACACTGTAAGGGGTCAGATTCCAAACACTTGATCAAATTCAATGCACTTCTTGGATTAGTCAATCGGCAACACAGAAAAATACGGGATGCTGGAGAAGACACCTTTGACCAATTAAGTGGCCGTTATTGTTTTTTGGAGCTCTTTCATTCATGTCATCACGTCCGTTTTCCTATGAGTTTTGGGTGATTCCAAGAGCAAAGTCTGCTCAAACTCTCTGGCACACTTGGACAGACCTACAGCCCTGTGGACTTTCTCAGTGACGTGCACGTTAAGTCTGCATGTCTGCAGATCTGGACAAGACTGGAGATTTAGACTGGGCAATTAAGTTGATCAAAGTAACTACACTTCAGCTATGTTATGAATGATCACAGGCAAAAAGCACCAAGGGCGATGGAAGAGTGGTGCTTAATAGGACAAGGAAGAAGAGTCCAATATGAGCCTTGGCCACTGTATTTGAGTGATGAATAATGATTTGCCCTATCCCCCCTCCCCATAGTGAAGCAACTCTACACTGCTGGTTTTAACCAAAATGATTAATGTTTATCAGATGACATGAATGCTGTGATTCATCTAAATGCCCGATGAACCACACAAGCACACAATAAAATATTCAGTGATTTGGTTAGAAGCTCATTTGCATATTGCAAGCTTATGTGATACCATTATTGAGAATGCTGATATTGAAGCAATATGGACAGTACAGAGGCCTTGCTGCTAGAGCGTTGCTTTATGGTTTGCTGTGCTGGGTTGAGCCTTTGCTATCTTTTTCATAGCTAATTTTATGATGTGTTCCACTGTATCTAGTACACAAGACCCTATGTAGAGAAGAGAAGAGGAGGAGGCTTTCAGTAAGCTGTGTGGTGGCCTGCACAGAGTTCATGGATAATTGTGGCCAGCTCTGTCTCTATGTGGAAGACAGAGGAATTCTGTTTTGCATGTGTGAAAGCTGGCTGGGAATGGTTTTCTGGCTTGTTTGGATGTTATTGGGTATGGCTCTATTTAAAGCTTGATTGCTGTTGAAATGGGCCCTAAAACTTTAAACTAACTGTTTTTTAAGGCTAATATAGAGAAGCTGGTGATGTGTCACAACTTACAGCCTACCGTCCTCCACTGAGAGTGTGTGGTTCTGTCATTATAGCAGTATTGGAGCTTTTGTTTTAAGTTGCACCGATATGGGAATTGTGGACCGATGCTGATGATAGCTCTTTGGTGATCTGAGATTTTTGTTTCTTTCTGCTGATATGTAAACATGTATAAAATTTATAAATTGGTACTAAACCTGGTACTAAATCTGGATTAGCATTGCAGAGAAATATAACATTTATTTGTATAGGGTTATCAATGAAATAAAGTGAATGAACTACAGAGATTTTTAGGACAGTACCCCAGGTTCACCTAAACATTCTTCACTTATGTAGTACAGCAAATACAGCTTCAAATATTCAAATATTGCTTTGAAATAGCTTTAAACAGCAATCAGATGCTGACGTTTTATTTTTAAGGCCTTATTTGCTGTTACAGATATGATGCTGATATTTCGGTGCTATAATGGCAAATATACGTATGACATGCACTTACTGCAGTGCACTGAATCAGGATAACTTGTTAAATGACTGTGTTATTTTTACACATCTGTTCTAATATGTTTTCCACTTCACACTCATGTGCTTAGTGGGTGGGAGTCCTCTCTGTCAACCCCCTCCCTCCCCCCACCTCGCTCAGGATCAGGGTGGAGTACAGTTTCCTCCCTCTGTTTCCCAGGCCTCACCCCCTCCTCTCCTGCTGCTGTGCCTGATCCAGTCAGTTTCTCTGCCATTCGCACAGCCCTAGCCCTAGTACAGGATGTGAAGTCTGCTCACGCCTCGCTCAAACGAACATTTTCATCAACACAGTGTGCCGTCTGCAGCTGTCTCTTCCAGATCTGCTTTCTCCTGTTCTGTCAGCCCAGAGCTGTGAGCAATGCTGGGTCTATTAAGGTCCAGCATCCGCAAACGATGAGCTCAGCAAGCTCAAACTCCGCTGGCTGGCTGGTTAAAGTCTTCAGGACTGCACTGTTTGGCTTTTCTTTCTCCAGAGGCCAGAGGACTGGGACTCATGTACTGTCGCATTCTCTATTCTTGTTGATGGATGGCTGCTCGGTGGCTAGTTTGTCTCAGCTCTATCCTCGGCTCAGATTTGGATGGCTGCCTGTGTGAAGCTGGTGTACCGTTTGTGTCCTGTGCGTGTGATGGGCTTGTCGGAACTGTGGCTTTAGTGACAAGACTTTCTGTTCTAAGTTTCTTATGAATGTGTGCCTTGAGTAGGGCTGTCTCAGTTGCTCGATTAACTTATTTGCTCAATTTGGGAAAAGAAAATCCATGATATAGCATTCAACTTCTCAGTGACTTGGCAATGAATAATTTGCATGATGATAATGCCTGTTTTTAGATTCTTCTGCTGGTCTGTCTTATAGTAAGAAATAGAGCTTGAAAGACTTTTCACATAATATTTATATGATATATGTGCATTTACTTTTGCTGGGTAGTGCTTTTATAAAGTTCCTTTACAAAAGCTTCCTAATCTATTTTTTTCCAGTAAAGTATTTTGATTTTTTTTGAAAGGCTGTATTGTTCAGTCTGTTTTTTTATTGTTTGATCCTACTCGATTACCAGCAAAATCAGTAGTGACAGCCCTAATCTTGGGCATGAGATCATTTCTATTCCTCACAAAGACAAGAATGAAAATGGTGATAAAATGATAAAAAATGATACCTGCAATGCCGGAATGTTTTTTTGGAACTAGAAGATTATAGTTGGTCTTGCCTCAAGGATCCAGCTGTCTTTTTGGAAATTTTCTCACACCTCTGCAGTTTCCTCCAGGCTCTCCCGTTCAGGGGGCGTACAGTAGGGAGGTGGGGGCCAAGTTGAGGACACCTCAGCTCCCCATGGCCTGCTGCCTCCACACCCGTCGCCATGGCAGCTGGAGACCAGGTAGCACTACTCTCCCACTCACTGTATTGTAGCCTCTGTCAGGGTGGGGGCTGCCTTGCTGATTCAGACTGCTGTTAAACCAGGCACTGTGCGTCTGAGCTCATACTTGGCTTGTCTGTAATATTTCTTTTTTTTTGGATCTCCAGAAACAGGAAGTGCAGGAGGGGGGCAATTCTAATTTCCAGCTGTAGGTCTTGTTACAGGAAGTAGAGAGGGCAGCAGGTCTAATATCAGTCATTAGGAGTGAATGTATGGCCCTGAGGGGTTTGCTGAAAAGAACAGTAACAGGAAATCTACCCACAGATATCATGGTTACTTGATTTATAGAATAAAAAAATTATTAAATAAGTCACCTTCTTGATGAATTAACATTAATCAATTAATTGATTAAACACATTAAGCAATGTCAAGAAGGCAGATTGTACTGTTACAGTTTTAGGTAGATTGTGATAAATGGCATTATCATGTTAAAGGTCCCAAAGCGTACATTTTTATTGTACTTTTGTACCCATTTTAAGGGTGGGTGATATGATGATATCGTTGTCATGATAAATTGTTGCAATACACTTTTCTGAGCATATCGTGGATAGCGACAGTACTCAAAGAGAACTGGCTAACTACGCTTCATTACAAAGTGAGCAAAATTGGATTTAGTGAAATGTAGTATGTATAGGTGTAGGTTTAGGTTTATTATTATTATTGTTGTTGCTGTTGTTATATTTTATTATATGTAGTACTACAGGTTCTATTTTATGTCAATCTTATTGAATCTCAGGGAAAAAAAATATTGTGATGTATATTGTGTATTGTTAAAATATACTGAAGTGCTATAATGTTATAATGTTATCACCATATTGCCCAGTCCTAGCTTATTTATATGCGAGTTTCTGTGCCAAAAACAGTCAAAATTCATTTTCAATCAGAATTCAATAGACTGTTTGCATGTTTAAGGCTGATATATGTTAAGTGAAAAAGCAAAGTGAATGAGCGGAGCTAAAGTGTTGTAGGCTAAGTGGTTGGTTTTTGTGACATCACAAAAACAGTGGATTCAAAACAGGCTGTTTTTGCAGCTTAGTTTCCATATGGACAGTATGGACTGAAAAGTGAACGTTACGTTTAGAAACTTTGTTTAGACAAACAATGTTTAGATGCTACATCAAACTCATTTATTTATAGAAAAAAGGAAGATGTATTATTTATGGGCCTTTTAGTGTAAGAAGAAATCACAACATCATGTTGCTCTCCTCTCTAATACCACTACAGTTGTGTCTGGTGGGACCAGATCAGGTATTGGCCTGCTTAGAGAGAGTGTGTTGTCTGTTGTGGGTCAGGAGAGCAGCTGGCTGCTGGGCTGGAATTTGCCTGGCATGTTATGGGAACTTCTTTGCAGAGAAGCAGCACTGTCGCCAGGACATCCTGTGTTTGCTGCGCTGGATGTTAAGCTACTGCCAGTGCTAATGCTAAATGAAAAATATTTTGTTTCATTGGGAAGAGCTGAATCAGCTGAATCAAACTACAGTGTTATCAGAGGCAAGATTAACAATGCATTGTCTGATGTAAAGATGCCAGACTGCTGAATAGAGTTTGAAATGTAGATTTGTGTCAATTGTATAAGTCTATCTCAGTCACAAGGGTGCTTACATAGCTGTGAAGCTAATACTTGGCCTAGGAGTGCCTTAACACAGTGATTCATGGTGTAATAAATGCCTTTTTTTGCATGCATGAGTGAAGCATTCTTCATGAGGTCAGGCAAAAACTGCTTTATCTTTTTTGCCATGGGTGCATTGAACATACATGTACTTATGTTTATTATAATAATTCTTACTTATATTCATTACTACTATGGATAATTATTAAATATAAATTTTATATTCCGTTGGCTAAACATCAATACTGTTCTGTAGCTGTTCCGTGGTTGCTGTTAATCCTTTTAGGTGCCCAGTGAATTATGTCTTGAAATGGCTTTACTTACTTTTTAACTTATTTCGCTTGTAGCTCATTGAAATAAGAGAAGGAATTACTTAACTTTCCATCAATAGCACATTTGTCTAACAATACCGTGTCTATAAGAACCTATGAACACATGTTACAATGCATTCATACTAGTGTTTAAACCAAAAGTCCAGCCCTGACAACACCTGTGGTGAGAAATGAAGTATTGGAAATACCATAGCGTTAATAAATTTACTTGTCTCACTTTGCTTTACATTTCTATTACATTTATAACCATGTTTATAATGCCTTATAAATGCATTATAACATGTTATGAATGTGTTTATAGGTGCTCATAGACATGGTATTCATAGAAATATTTTCAAAAGTTATATTAAAGTCTTGTTTTGTGGAAAGAACTGGGTCAAAAAAGAATGCAAATGCTATTCATTAGATAACTATATAATTAATAATGTAATGTAATTTAAGTAATCAAGGTGATGTCTGGTCCAGGTATGTGTTTAAAAAACACAATATATTGAACATATCCCATGTTGGCCGATTGGTACCTCAGAACACCAGCTAATGAGTGGTTGTGAACCCATTGGCAGTCTTGTCTTCAGAGGAATGCGAGCTGCTCATGAAGTGTGGCAGCCACTGGCTGAGGGATGACTGAGGCTCTGTGCAGGGGTCTGTTTGCCTTCAGCTTCATCTGCCAGGAAACACAGTGCTGAAGAGTTTAAAGCAGCAGTCATTCTGATGAACCTTAGGTACTCTGTAAAACGCAGTGAAGCTGCACATCACATGTTGTTTGTATGTGTTGTATGTGTGTACGGAAGATCACATTCACATCAGTGAGTACAGCTGCTCATTAGCCATTTATGTGCCTGAAGACGTATGTCTTGTTGTGTATGACTGAGATGTACAATCTTCCATGATGTCACAACGTTTTACATAATTAGTTTAAATACATGCTTACAACTCAAGTTAGAGCCATTGATCTACAACACTCCGTTCCACTTAACCAAAAACCCTGCCTGTTTTTGTCATCCAGGCCTTAACTCTGCTCCCCCGCTTTCCTTCCAGATGATGAAGGCGACCACCAGCACAATACCACAGGGAGTGAGGGCGGCAATACGGGGGAAGGCACCCCTCCGCCCAAGCGCAAGGGCAAGTTCTCTACCCTGGGCAAGATTTTCAAACCCTGGAAATGGAGGAAGAAGAAAAGCAGTGAGAAGTTTAAGGAAACTTCAGAAGGTGTTTATTTTTTTTGCCTTATGAGTCCTTACAGTCTAATTGTTCAAGTTATTGTGTTCCTGCGCTTGCTCTTCCTTAAAGTTATGAAAGCTGAGATTATATATATATTTTTATATATATATAGATAGATAGATAGATAGATAGATGTGTGTGTGTGTGTGTGTGTGTAATATATATATTAGAAGATTTATAATAAGCCGTATTTGTAAGCCGTAAGCTGTTTTTCTGTACTTTCGTTTTGTAATACATGTCCATGCCCAGCCTAAAAAACAATAATGGGCCTCAGTAACAGTTGGCCGTAAGCTAACTTAACACAGCGTTTATCATTTTAACAAGAAGTAATTTTGGACTATTAAAGAGTGATTTGTTAAACTTGTAATAAGAAGTACCAAACCATGTCAGGAGCACACTTTCACCAGTTTAAGCACGCTTCTCTGAGACATTACCTCATCACCTATTGTAAGTGTCTCCTCAGGATGTAGGTTGGGGTTAAGATCAATATTTGCTGCACCTTTCTCTGCAAATACTGAAAACACCCTTAGATGGTGTGCATGTGGCATATATACACACATTCCCTAGCAGTTGGCCTTGTTGGGGTGCAGTTGGTGTTGGTACGCAGTGCCGTGTTTTTACCAAACATATGTAGCCCAGCGTAACCTAAATGTTCTACTATTTTGCAGTACTTCTTTTCCCAAACAATACTTTAAACTATTATCTGTGATTCACAAACTTTTCCTCACAACCATAATCTCAGTAGTAGTTCGAAGTTTATAGTTGACGCTTATGTGCTAAATTTTCCCCACAGTTCTGGAAAGAAAGATGTCGATGAGAAGGCCAAGGCAGGAGCTGATAGAGCAGGGAGTGCTAAAAGAGCTTCCTGAGAACGGTAGGAAAGCCTGTGCGCTGTCTGTTTTGTATATGTATTTGTTCTGTATGCTTTGTGCATGCTAAATGATTCATGTAGATGAATAAAATGTATATGTATATGTGATGTCCCTTGATCTGAGTTACGTCCTATACATCCATTCACCTGCTGTCCAGCTATTTCCTCTAGACTCATAACAATCGGTAACAATAGGTCATAACAATCACAGCTCTCCCTATACACTCACGAGCCTGGAGGGTATGAGATAAATTCAGCAGATTTTGAGACGGATGAAGAAAGGAAATTCAATTTGGTGCTTTTTTGACAATTTAACTTCATATTTTGAGAGGAAAATGACATGCCGTTTTTCTTGAGTTGTGAAAAGTGGAGCAAATTGTACCCTGCAGCAAAAAGCTTTGAAAGTCATGCACTGTGTGCTGTGGAGGCCCATTTTTCTGAGAGGTGTTCTGAAACATGCAAACCTGCTCTTGTTCACTGCCCCTGGCTGATTTGTAGCTTCAAAAGCCTTCTCCACTTTTCTCTAACCTGATTTAAAAAGATCAATCTTGATATCTATCTAAACTCTTTTGGGGCCCTCAGAGATGTATGTATAGTGATGATACTCCTAGATGCAATTGTTAATTAATGCTTGGATGTTCTTTGCAAAGTTCCTCATCATTACCTTTTATATGTGTGTGTCTGAGTATTCTTTGTTTGTTGTGACAGAAGTAGATGAAGCTCATGGCCCTAAGCTGCCCTATGTGAAAAATGGCCACACTCTGCCTGTAGGAGGCAGCAGCGGAAGCGGGAGTCGAGGGCTTGAGCCCGTTCGGTCCCCGGCCGAGTCAGACCTCAGAGTAAACCAGGCCTGGCTGCCCCAGCCTGAGGAGCGCAGGGGTCGTGTCCCCTCCGACGGCGAGCGTCGTGGAGTGCTGGGCATTCGACCCACCAGCCACGATGAGTGTAGGAGAGGTGGCCGGTCTGGCGGGGAGGAGTGGAAAACCAACCTGGCCTGGCAGATGGACGAGAACCGCCGTGGAGGCAGAGCAGACGAGAAAAGACCTGGCCTGATCAAAGCCCCGTCTGAGGACGGCCGAAGGACACGCCCCGAGCCAGAGTGGAAGCCTACCCTTCCCCGCCACTCTTCAGCTGAGGAGGGCAGAGGAAGACGAGGTGAGTCGGCTGAAAATTTTATAGAACGTCATTTAATTAATTTATTACATCTGAAATCAGCTAATAAACTCTCAAACTGCTGTTTTGTATCTAACAGTATGAGGTGAAATCTAATGCAACTGATGATTTCTTTCTGCTAAAGCATTAGCATAATTTTGTTTATCTGCCTCTGGCATCTTGTATGTGGTAAACTTTAGAATAGGGAAAGAACTGATCTCTACAGCCTTTGGCCCTCCAGGGCTTGACACCCCTCGTTTTGATCTTCGGCTCCTGCTCACCTGCTGTTGCACACGTTTCCTCCAGTGCTTCCTCCTCCTCTCCTGGCCTTGCTGGAGAGGAGGGCGGCTGTGCTCCCTTGGGTCCTGCTCCAGCTAAGATTCTTATTTAGGAACAGGGGAGGGACAGCTCAGCTTTATTCTCTTTTCCTCCTAATTAACACGCTGCTGTCGATTCAACTTAAACCTCTTTAGAACAAGCACCTTCCTTTTAGCCACAAACCTCCATTGGGCATAAATTTGCTGCTCCACCAGGACTAATTGTCCATTATAAGTTTAAATAGTTGTGTCAGTACTTCAATATTGACCTTAGCTATTAACCAAAGAAAATAGTGATAGTTAAATAGGGATAGTTAAAGAGTTTAAATTTTGTTTCATTTCATTTTCTCTCTTCCCTGTGGCTGGCTCTCTTCTTTACTTTTCTGACCCACTCCCTTCTGCTGCCTGTGCCTTGGTGTGATAAAGCGGCTGTAAATAACCCTGAGCTTAAAACATCAGCTTTGAAGAATGGAGAGAGACTAACGGGGGAGGGGGCGAGGGATAGAGACAGAGGGAGGTAATTATGGCAGCCTGTTTATCTCCCATGGCGGCTGATGAGCTGATTAAGAAAAGCACACAGACAAGCGGCATGGGAATGATAACACAACTCAGCAACACAGCTCAAACATCCTCGCAGGATAGATGAGAAGAACTTAGATTTCTGTGTTTGATGCTGACGACTGTGACTTTGATTTAATCATTTAGGAAATTCTTTATTGGCTAGCACGTCACTGAAATTCAACATGAATAACTTCCAGGGTAATCACTAACAACTACGCGTGTAAAAATGCATCAGTGTATCGTGATACATTGATCTGGAGGTGACAAATCCTCTGTATCAAACTTATTGAACTTATATTTTTATATAATTAATTCTCAGGCTGTTTTTGAACATAGAAGCACAAAAATCTGGTGTCTTGATGTCTTGGTCCCCTTGTGTCTGTTTATTATGTATATACGTCTACTGAAAGAATCAATGCTTAAGTCATATTTGTCTATTCAGTGTTTAAAAAAAATTTAAATCACATCAAACCATAGTGAAATTTCCAAAATAATCATAATAATTGCTAAATAAATTGAGTTATTGTGAGGTCAAAGATTTAGCAGTGCTATCAGATATTAGTGGATGGTATGTCCAAAACTATATAAAGACAGAAAGATTAAAATTTGTTAATTTTTTGGTTTATATTACGTGTGTGTGTGTGTGTGTGTGTGTGTGTGTGTGTGTGTGTGTGTGTGTGTATGGCATACACACACACATGCAGTGGAGCCCAAAAGTCAAACACCAAATGGAAATACACACCACGTGAAAATAAATATCAGCAAGTTTTATAGTGTTGAGAAATGTAAAACATTTTTTTTTTCAAATTTTCTCAAATTGTCCTGCTGATAGTATCATTTGTAATGAAAAACCTTTTTATTCCATTAGAAAGCAAAATAAAAGCATTTTCACCAGCGATCTCTGACTGAACATACTTTTATTGTGAAAAATAATAGAAACAGAGCTGATCAAACTGTAGATAAATGTGAGTATTGTCTTCTAACCCTAAACCTAACAAGATAAAAGTCATATACATGTAAGCACACAGCAGCTTCTCTTGGCCAGACAAAATGGTGCCAAATGTTGTTTGATGTCCAGATGTTACAAGTTGTTTGTCTTATACGTGTGTCCTATACACTTTTGCTTACATCTGCGACTGCCAAACACAGAGTTTGGTGAATATTATAAGTCATTCTTACTATTAGTAGCAGCTGAGAAGCAGTTTAATGCAACGTCCAGGTCCAGAGACTGCGGCATCACCTGATGCAGCTGAAGGAGAGTGGCGGCGATGCAGGCAGTGTGAGAGGAAACAGATACGTGGCTGAAGGTGTTTGTATGTTTCCTTGCCATCAGACTGGACGACAGACTGTAACTGAGTACACAGTGGCAAAACAGGATAACCTTAACATGTTTTGCACTGTTTTTAAGTTGTACCAAAGCTTATTTGTGGCATAACAGTGTAAAAGACTTTTTACTGGTATATCGCTCTCAATTACTGTCATACTTAAGCCATAAGATTCTGTCATGGTGTTTCTTTGTGTTGTCACAGAATCAGACGGCGGTCACTATGTTCCGGACTCAGAGGCTTTAAGGGACACTCTGCGAGAACCGTTGCCTCCCAAGCAGTCCATTATGCCGCCCAAATGGCTGATGAGCTCCACCCCAGAGCCTGGCATGGAGGGCTCCCCCCGCACGCCCGTTCACAGCCCCGCCATCTCTTTCTCTTCCTCTTCCGCTTCCTCCAGCTCACCCCCATCCTCAGCAACCAGTGCAGCTGGCAAGCCTCTACGGACTGCTTCGTCTGCTGGGGCTAACACGCAGGCCTCCAGCGGAGCGCACTTCACCCCCTCCTCTGTACATTCATCCTCCTCTGTGGGCACGGCCCCAACCCAGCCGGTCAAGCAGCCCCCACTGCCCCCACCCAAGCCAGTGAACCGCACCACCAACCCTGCAATGCTGGGTGAGTGCTTGCTGCCTTTCTGGAGTGACCCTCAAAAGGCTTAGAGCAGATTTTGTGCGTACTGCATTATGGCTGGTTGTTAGGTAGATCCTTCAAAGGAAATGTTCTCAATAGAAGCCACAGACCTCAGTAGACACTATACATATCCCCATCCTGGCGTTCCAGGCTTTTCAAGTGTGATAGGGCATCTTTAATGAGATGAGTCTCAAGCACATCTCTTCCCTGGCATCCCTCTGTTCTAGTGCAGCATTTTCTCTAATGACTCTGGGCTTGGCAGGAAGCTTTCTACTGCAGTGCTGCAGTGTTTTTGTTGTTGTTTGGTGTTTTCTTCCACTATGGGGGTGCTGAACATTTTTGGGCCACAAGTTCAGTTTGTAATCTAAGTTGTGGGACATGTATGTCAAAATACTTAGAGTTCCATGTGCAAATTGTATGTTATGTCAAGTTTGTTTGTGATGGAACTGCCTAAATGATCATATCATAATTTAGGCAGGCCTCCATTTTTGGGGCACTTGCTTGATTCTCATATTTGTCATATTCAGAGCTTAGACTCGGCTTAAAATGTTTGTGTTGAGGCATATATTCATACAATTAATGATCAACATGATATATGTCGAAATATGTACGGTACACAGTTACGAAGTGTACTCACGTGCTTGTCATCCATGTCTTTGAAAGGTTTGTGAACATATATTCTAAAAGATAAAACATGCATCAATATGTGTGCAGAAAGGCTGCATAAATGGCCAAGGTTAAGGAAGTTTCGTGTCTGAGCAAGAGTTGCTGTGATTGTTAATGCTCTTTGATCCAAAAATGCAGTGAAAAAGCTGTTTTCATTCACGCTATAATCGTTTTTAGATTTGACACTTGCTACAAATTATCCCCAGGAAAGAAAAGCCATGTTTGACCCAGTTAGAGTCCTTACATAATGCAGTCAACTCTTTTTCCTTTTTTCCTGAGGAGCACAATAACTGGATAATTAACCTCTTCCAGGTGTCCTGGTATGAAAGGATGGAATGAATTGCTCCAGACAACCATACTCTTAACCACGTCCAGAAGGGTGGACTATTATATACTTTGAAAGCAGCACACTCCCTGTTCCCAGTAATCATTTAAAGTTTATAGTATGGATTCAGTGTCCGTTCACTGAGCTCTTAGTATGCAGCTTTTCAGTTCCATGAGGGCTGCACAAGTCTGATTAAAAATTGACTAAAGAGATTGTGCCATCTGCTACCAAACCAAATGCAACTTGCTGAGTGAGGACAAGTTGGTACAAAATAATGATACACAATACATTCCTGTCAAGGAATGAAATTATGCATTGTTTTGGTATTTTCTGGAAACATACAAAACTGCCCTGAACTCATCAAGTTTTTCTCCTTTATACCAAGCATAGTCAATTGGTCAAGATTATTGGTGTTCCAGCTTTGATCTTATATTTTTGCACTGGAGCAACAAAGCTGATACAATGAAAAATCATTCAAACTGATTTTTCATTACAGTGGATAGATTTCTATTGCTTTTTATCTACATTTGCCTCATAGCTCTAGTACAAAACTCAAGAATCAAACTTTAGACACCAAACACGTCTTGGCTGATCGACAACATTCGGGGTAGGGAGAAAAATTTGTAAATTTGACCTCTCTGTGAACTATTCACTATATATGTTTTTCAAATAATACTTTAATTAAAACTTTTGGGAATAATATATTGTTGTGCAATTCATGACAATCAGAGTTAGAGATTTTACCATTGATGCATGCTTTATTGTGTCTTGCATAGGAGCTGTTCCAGATGATTGTAAGCTTTGCTGAATGTAGAGAGAACATGTCTCCATACTGCCTCCTGCAGGTCACTTTTTGAAGTATCTGAACAGGAGAGCTGTATAAGCACGTTGGACTAGTATAGAGATTTGGACTGCTGGATAACAATGGTCCTGTGTTTTCCGCTGAGCTTGAGAGGATTTCGAATTTGCTTTTCAAAGGAGATTTTACAAGTGACAAGCTCTTGAGTAGTAATAACACTTATATAAACTAGTATTTGCTTGGCTCCTTCATTGCTGTAAACCTAATTACAGTACAGTGAGCCACCTTCTTAAATTAAGCGCTTTGTTTAGTCAAAAGTAACTTAATTCTTCATCACATTTTACCACTTACGCTCATCATCAGCTACAGTCTTTACACAAGGCCCTTTTCAGAATTCTATTAAGGTCTATGTTGGTCATATGCAAGTGGGTTAGTACCCAGTGGCTGGTGTTTTGACCCCTTCGGGATGGTTTCTTACCCTTGCCAGCCTCCACCCTGCACGGGGGCGACCCCTTTCCCCTCTACTGGTCCTGTTGGAAGCGCGAGGGCGACTATGATGTGTACCTGTCCCTGCCTGTGTACCTGTGCCGGCGGGCAGGAGGCGTGCGCGCAGGTAACACCAAGGCCACGCCTGTCACCACGGCAACGCCACCTCGTCTGTCATGTCGTCCGTCTGCTCAGTGTGTGCTGGCATCATCTTCCTCACCTTGGCCACCGCATGCTCTTAGCCTGGCTGAGATGCTGGACTACCATGCAGTGGCTACAGTGCCCCATTTTTCTTTTCGGTCTATTTTTCTTCTCCTCTCTCTCTGTTCCTCTGTCACTCCCTGTTTTGCGCTCTCTCTCTTTTTTCCGCGCTCCTGCTAAGCTGCATGTCTATGGCACTAAATTAGCAGTAAGCGCCACAGTGTTAACAGTATGTATTAAATGGCATGCAGCATTGTGAGAAGGCCTGTCGCCCTATCGGACTTGCCAGCACAGCAGGAGTGCTTCATTTGCTCTGGAGCAGAAGCAGTAAAACAGCAACTGTGACAGCTAATCCACACACATCTGCTTCAATAAGATTAGAGCAAACAGCAAAGAAGTCTAATCTAATGCATTGCATGCTGAAAGGCCATAGGTCACTCAGATTAGGCTGCATAGGATCTAAAACCTCTGTTTTAAATCTGATTTCAGATCTGTTTATTTCAATGCAGTGCTCTGCTTGACTGCGATTACTGACACTAAGTTCAGCTGTGCAGATGTTTGAAAGAGACGCATGCTGTTACTGTATTAAGGCTAGAATCTCTGGCTGTGGCTTTTTGTGTTAGACAACTGTACTGAGTTTATCAGTACATGGAGCATGTTTAGCGTTGTGTCTATGGCAGTTGAATGTGAAGTTTGTCCAACTACATGGACATGTACAGTATGTGAAAGTTACAGGATTGAGTTTCTTTTCCTGTTTTTAAGCATTTCTACTCATGTTGTATTATACGCAATGTTAGTTTTTAAAATGTGTATCATTTAAAAAAATTGCCTTAGCCAATCTATTTGGGGTTCAATGTTAGGAGGCTTTTAAAAAATGAAACTCATGGTTTTAAGATTCAGACAAGGTAAAGTGGCAACCTTGACGTGTAATACTGTAGCATAGTTGCTTAGGATGGGATGGGTAGCAGGTTTTATTGAGATAAAATCAGTATGATTACATTGGGTGTAAAAAAAACACAGTCACAGGTGTTTTAAATAAAAAGTCAGTATTTTGGAGTTAATAGCCTACTGCTATAGCCTCCTCCAAAGCACTTGCCAGGAGAACACACAACAGTAGCAGTCTTAGAGATAATTTCGTATTTCTTTAAACCATGTTATTTTTTGTTTTAAAAACTTTAAAAAGGTAAATAAAAAGTTGATCCACAATATTCAGTACATCTAGTGAGAGATTCTAATGTGTATTATTGTTGACGGTCACGGATATCACGGATCACGGATATCACAAAAGAAAATTTCTATGCCACCCCATCCCTGTTCATAACCTTAACATGTAGAAATGAGTGTTTAAAAAAAAAAAAAAAAAAACAGCTGTAAATCTTTGCTTGATAGTGGCTCATTACCCTCCCTCCTTCTCCAGCTGAATTTGCCCAGATGACAGGAGGCACTAACCTAGTGCCAGCCAAGCCTTCTCCACCCATGCCTCCGAAGAGAACCACACCGGTCACCAAACGCAACACTGAGGACTCCAACTTGCCCATCTCCTCTCTGCCCTCCATGTTGTCACCTGAGGACAGAGCCAACATCCCAGGGGGCTTCCCACTGCCCCCACCTCCCCCGTCCCCACCTCTGCCAACACACATTCCACCCTCCCCTCCCCGAGGCCACACCCACCACCTTCTGCATCAACACTCCTACCCCCATCCTTTGCCCCAACCGCTACCTGTCCATTTTGACCCCCCAAGCCCACTGGAGGAACCACCTGCCCGTCAAGCCCCAGTGCCCCTACACATCATGATCCAACGGGCACTGACCAGCCCTGGACCGGCGCTCCCTCACCCGGACGGCTCCCAGCGTGCCCACTCGCTGCTGTTTGAGACGCCTCCAGAATACCAGGGAGCCCGCCCGCTGCCCGTCACCATTCAGCCGCTTAAAGTGTGAGTGTCCAGCACCACTGTCTTGTGCTATAGCCAACACAGTTGTAGAAACAAGCCTGCAGAACATTCAGGTGACATTGGGTTCATGTGCTAAAAATAAATAAATAAATGTTACATTTTTCCCTAATGCTGAACCAGGTAGATTTTTGTGTGCAGCATTTGGTTCGCAGTTTTATTATTTAGATATCATTTGGCTAATCAAGCAATCACACCTTTGCTTTCTGCCATTTCCTCTCACTTCCTTGCTTTCCTCTTGTGTGATAAAACAAAATAGAAGCTATTCTGCCCCTTACCGTGTCCTGTAGTGTATTGCGGTCTGTTGAAATGACCATGTGCATCATATGAGCATTATAGAGCACCATAGATTAGTTGTGTTTTAGTTACTTTTGTCCATAAAGGACACAACAACTATTTTACTTTGTTGACTCACCATTTCAGCCCCAGGCAAAACAGTGTTTCAGTCCCAGTATTTCCCTGCGACTTTAATCAGTATGTTATCTAACTTTGCATTTATTGTTGTGGCTTTTACCAGGAACACTTTAACATCCATCTCAATAACATGTAATTATTGATTGCATAATTGTTGACTTACATTGGAATCAAATGTGACTGTTTGCAATACACTGACTGTCTTAGCCTTGCCAATGTAAATGAATGCCTAGCCAATTCACTAGTCGACAAAACCACATATTGAGATTGAATTTAGCCAGTTATTTAATTTGGTGTGATTTCACAGATGAACTCTTGTGTCCCATTGACTAACTTGTCTGTTTTTCTCTTCTCAGAGGTGAAGATGACTACTCAGATGAGGAAGAAGAAGAAGAGGAGGAGGAAGAGGAGGAGGAGGAAGAAGAAGAAGAAGAGGAGGAGGAGGAAGAGGACGAAGACGAGCCTTCTCCTGAACACTTGCCTCTCCCTCAGACTCAGCCAGAGCTGGAGCCACGCAGCCGCAGGTGTCTGGTGGGAGAACTGAGTGTCAGCATGATCCCGGAGGGACCCGACAGCAGTGAGGGAGAGGAGGGAGAGGAAGACCAGCACGCTGAAGAGAGCGACTCGGACGGGCCCGTGCTCTACAAGGAGGATGAATCGGATGAAGATGAAGAGGATGACAGTCCTCCAAGTATGTGAACAGCAGGGATCTAAACCTCTGACCTCACAAAGATTTTCTATGATTGAGAGTCTTTAACAGCTATCACAAAATATTTAATTATTTCTTTAAGTTCAAAGTGGCTGTATTTGTATTGTAGTTGTAGACATTGTGTTCCCTGGTTCCTGTCACTACCATTTGAAAGAAATCAGTGTTTTTTCCTAAGTGAAATTATCTACAATGAACTATTTCACATCAACGATAGAAATTTTTAAAAATCTATGGAATTTCCCCTTAAGGTGAGCCTTCTGTGGATGCTGATTGCAGTCCCTGAATACCCTGAACCATGATTTCATGGATTGAAATTATAACATAACTTTTTTAGTTTAGCTTATGAATAGTAGATCACTTTCTAAAAGGACAGGTTTTCTGCTTGTACATATCAATAGCTTGCTAGTACAGCTTTAGCAGTGTTGCTGCTTAGCAACAGGAAGACACGCAACCAGAAGCAGTGTTCAGTAAGAGGGTATGAACCCCCTTAAGGGATTCAGACTAGTGGTCAGCTGATGATGGGGTGAAAGCTTACAGTTCCTAACATTGCTAAACTGATTACTACCTTTATATCAGTACATTGCAACTTAATGATGCATTTCACACCGCTAGTGAATAGTGCTTGCTCCAGTTCCGCCTCTTGCCAGATAGATCTCTGAGCCATGTGGCGCAGTAGGACTCCAGGGGTGATTAAGAGTTAATGTGAGTTCACTGAGCACAGGAGGCAGTCTTTGCTGATCAAATGATTTGTTTGCACATCACTGATTTGGGGTGTGTGTATGTTATATTTGTGTCCCTAAATAAGAATATTTTGATTCATTAGCAATGCAGCGTTATAGCATTTGCCATGTGTATGTATGCATACACACCGATGAGCCAAAACATTATGACCACCTGCTTAATATGCTGACCCACCAAGGCATGAACTCTGCAAGACCTAAAGGTGCCCGGTGGTATCCGGCGGCAAGATGTTAGCAGCGGATCCTTTGTAAATTGTCTTGTAAGTTGTGAAATGGAGCCACCATGGACTGGACTTGTTCCATCTCATCCCACAGATGCTTGTACCATCACTTCCCCGAGTAAACGCCACACATGCACCTGACTGTCTATGTGATATATATATAAAAAAACAGGAATTATTGAGCTATGAGAATCGACTGATGTAATATGAATCAGACCTTGTCATGCACCGTTGTTAAGAGATATTTAGCTTCGTACTTCATCTGTTAGTGGTCAGAATGGCTCATAGTGTGTGTACATATTTATGTGTGTGTGTGTTTTATTTTGTTTATATATACATATACACACGTGTGTGTGTGTGTGTGTATGTCCTGCTTTTGACTCTGCTTCTCTCTCTCTCTCTCTCTCTCTCTCTCTCTCTCTGTGTGTGTGTGTGTGTGTGTGTGTGTGTGTGTGTGTGTGTGTGTGTGTGTTTTGTGCAGGTGCTTTGGCCAGCAGGGTGAAGAGGAAGGACACTTTGGCTCTGAAGCTGAGCAGTCGGCCCTCGGCCCCAGACAGGCAGGCTCCTGAGAGGCAGGCCAGAGTGGAGCACACAGGCCTTTCCTGGCAGAGCAAGGAGCAGTGGGAGGCCATCCGCACACAGATTGGCACAGCACTCACACGGTACACACACACATATGCTCAGTATGCTCATTCATTACTAATTCACACCTTAATGTATATTGAAAGAGAGTGATTTGGCAAAATGTCTTCCTAATTTGAAACATAGTAAGTATAACTTCTGCTTGTCTGTAGACGACTGAGCCAGAGGCCCACTGCTGAGGAGCTGGAACAGAGGAACATTTTACAGCGTAAGCATTTTCCTTATCATCGTTTTGCCAGTCTAATGCTCTGTGCTCTATGCAACCAAGCTTAAATGTCTCCCTTTAATCACATATCAGGGCTGTACTTAAACTTCCTGAGCAGGTAGCAGCAGTGCTGGAAAAGTTGTGAGTTTTGAAGCACAAATAAAAATGTTGTAGCATGATGGAAAAAAATCAATAATACTTCTGAAGGAAAATATTCCCAATAAGTGGGACAGTATATCTTAACAGTGATAAAACAGAAGCAGTGTGTAAAAGGAATTTTAATAATAATTGCTAATTTTTTGTGAAATGTGCAGGTAATTCAAAATAATTTTTTCCTGCAGGGGGTTGCTATTAGCACTCAGGTAGGTTTTGTGTGCATCACTGAGAGAGGAAACCCACACCAGCAATATTCATTCTAAAAAGGATCTAAGTTAAAGATAGAAAAGGCAGTAGAGTAAAATTTTAGACTATGGCTCGCTTCAAATGTTTTGGCCCAAAACGAAACAACTTTTGAATACTTTGTATGTTGGGTAACCCTCTGTTTACAGACATCTAAATTTGTACTATAGCATTTAAAATGGTAGTTGTTGTGCCCTGCAAATCATTTTTCATTTTTCTCCAGCCAAGAATGAAGCAGATCGTCAGGCGGAGGTTCGGGAAATCAAACGCAGGCTCACCAGAAAGGTAAAACTCAAGATGTCTGCTTTGTTTTAATATGACACTGTACATTAATGATGTGTTTATAATTGCAGTTCTTATAAAACTCATGCAGTATTCACCTGAATCTTTTCAAGTTTATGATCTTCTAGGTTTAGCCAGTCATTTAGAGATTCAGAGCATTTCTGTCTTCTGTTAAAACCCAGGCAAAGTTCCAAAGCTAAATCATGTTCACTTAACTCTGAACAGCGTCATTTTCCCACTTTATTAAAAGCAAAGTAGATACTTGTAAACCATGGGATTGTGTGATTTATCCAGTTCTACAATAAGTAACTTGTGTTTTAAGGTAACATTTTGTCCCCTTTTCAGTTAAGTCAGAGGCCCACAGTTGCTGAGCTACAGGCCAGAAAAATCCTGCGCTTCCACGAGTATGTGGAGGTCACACTCGCTCAAGACTACGACCGCCGTGCTGACAAGCCATGGACCAAACTCACACCTGCCGATAAGGTAAAGTTTCAGCTTTCTTGCTGCTTCAGCTGGTTTACAAATCCAACTGTTTGACCTATCAACACTTCTGTGTTTTGCTTCCTAACCGTATGGTTTCTACCTAGGCTGCGATCCGAAAGGAGCTCAATGAATTCAAGAGCTCTGAGATGGAAGTTCATGAAGAGAGTAGGATTTATACGAGGTAAACAATGCACACCATAATACAAATGTTGCTTACTTAGTTAAAATCTATGGTTCTAAAAAAGGTGCTTCTATGTGTTGCTGTCTTTTTTAGATTCCATCGTCCTTAACATCCTTCCTTGTCTAGAAAGTGAAGCACTTCAGCGCTGACACAGGGAGAGAGACTGAGAGAGGAGCCTCAAGGTGTTCAATCTCCCTGACAGAGACTGCCTTTCAGTGAATGTACTGTACAGATACCTGGAACAAATAGAGAACTTTTCCTCAGTCGTCTGCCCTTCTGTAAATATGCTGGGGGTGAGGGCTGAGCACTGTAGGACAAATGCAGTATTCCTCCCTGAAACTAAAGGGAGACTGACATGTGCCAAGTCAAAGAGCTGATGAAGGACCCCGTGAGGGGCGTGCAGAGTGTGCGCCATCAGGAGACATCATGCAAGGGACCCTTCCACTGACGTCACTCTGCCCTCTCTGCCCTCAGAGGGGAAAAGACAGTCTATAGAGTGGCCTTTTTCTGCTTATACTTGGTATTACACACTCTATTTCCTTTTAGGGAAATGTAATAACCTTAACAAATAATAGTGATAAGAATGATGGTGAATAATAAATACAGTAATAATAAATGTTCATAACTGAGGGTGGCCGAGAAGAGGGTGCACAGGTGGACTCTGCATGGACAAACACGAGGATATTTGTGTATTTGTGTATGTCTGTATAGATTGCTGTAATTTTCTCTTAGACCGATTCATTGGAAAGTTATAATTAGAAACTGTAATGCACAAGGTTTTATGATGTAATGTTGAAGTTGAATTTATGTGAAGTGGCCACCTTTTCATGCCTCTCTTACTGAGACTTGAGACTAGCCCTTCTTTTGGAGCTCACTGTTACAAAAGGGGAAGGGGAAACCGATGGTCTTTCTCTTTCTCTAGTTTTTTTTGTCCGCACACAAGAATTTTAGACTTAACATTTCACATCATGGGTTTTAGTCTACACATTACCGCAATGTATGATGTTTTAAGCCCTTTTAATACATGGGGTTCAACCATTTCAATCAAATACTAATCATGTTTCTGACAGATACAACTGCATACACGTCTGAATAAGAATAACTTATTAAAATTTAGACTTTTTTTTTTTTTAGAAAGTCATTGTTACGGGCAAGTATTGTCACAGCACTATGAATAAAATTGTTTTTATAGAGTAATGGCTGACAGGGAAACTGTTTCGGCAGGAACGTTTTGTTTTCTGTTTTTCTTCTTTCTTTTTTTAATGTCTATGGCCAGTAGAATAATAGAAGATGTTCTGCTGTACAGATCTATTCCCTAGATTAAACTGACTGTTGTGTATATCTTGTCTTCCTTTTATTTTGAAACATTTTAAATATATTAAAATTTTAAATAGGTTGCTATTTTTTTAAGCACAAAATGTTAGCATATTATTCCACACTACAAGAATTCATCTTAATATACTTGTTTCATGTTAATGTAGCATTGCAGCTCATCTTATGTTTGTTTTTGATTCTATGTGAACTTTTAGAAGCTGACAATATTTTTTTCTGTTTAGTTGTCACCTATGAATCTAAATTAAAAATGCTTACAAATCGTTTATTCCTCGTATAATGGTACTTTTTCACCGAATATAAGTCATGATCCAGTCCTGTTATGAAAGTCTGAAGGCAAGATTTCTGGATTAAAGGAAAGGTGTTGTATATGTTTTTATTTATTTTTTTTTTTCATTCCAAATTTAGGCTGACTGTGATGCATCGTTTTTATAGTGGTGATAGTAAAGTACATTCTACATTTAATTTTGGTCAGTGAGAACTTTTCGTGATTGTGACGTCTAGAAACCTACAGCAGTAGGCTTTATGCTCTTCAAATGGACAGCACATCATGAACCTCATTAACTTGCTCACATTCAGCAGCTGTTAATGTCCACTAGTGCTTATATTAGTGCATGAAAGTGCTCAGTACCCCCACCCCAAAATTCAAATGACAACTGTATTCTTATTATTCTTCTTCTTCTCATTATTATTCATTAGTAAAGGAAATGTACCCTCATAACTAGACCACTAGTAGTGAGCACAACAGATGTGCTGTATGACCTGTAACTACTCAAACTGCACCATCTACTGATTAACTCATTCATGCCCAACAGCTCCATTTAGTACAATGAAAAATGGTAAATAACTTGTTCTGACTGGTCTGAAGTGGTAAGATTTGGTATATTTCCAACAGTGCACATTTGTATCCACGATCGAATTTGGATTGTTAAAAATCAGTAGTCCCATATGACCAGAGTTGATTTACGTGATAAAAATAACTGGTTAATCGATTTAAAAGAAGGAAAAAAGTTATATATATATATATATATATATATATATATATATATATATATATATATGTGTGTGTGTGTGTGTGTGTGTGTGTGTGTGTGTGTGTGTGTGTGTGTGTGTGCTTTGTGCTCTCAAACAAGCAAATGTTGTGATGTAGTTTTAGAGACATTCACTTCAGATGTCTGGTTGCCATCACCACCGCAGTGCACAGTTCTGACTCTCTCTGAATGACGCTGTTTACACCTGAGCGACTGAACTGTAAATTTTGTTTAGAAATCGACTGAATTCCCTTTTTAAGTGTTTATGACATTTTATCGTCAGCGCGCTCACACATGACCCGTCATAAGCAGTTAAAAGTGGACTGTTTGCAGATGCAGCGTCCCGTCTAGCAAAATTTCTCAGAAAAACAAGTTTGTGTATTTCAGAGTGGACCGCTGCTCTGGAGAAATGCCCGTGCCTCGCGCTCCGAACCAGCAGGAGGCGCTGTGTGAGTCTGACCGGCTTGCATGTGTCAGCGAAATAAATGAAGGGGGAAGGCGCTGAACTCGTGTTCACACTCAAGAGGAGCAGAGCTGAAACCTGGGCAGAGCGGAGAGGTGTGTGTGTGTATGTGTGTTTTCATCACGGCGCCATAAACATCACTTTTGAGAGTTTAATTATAAGGTAAGTGACTCGGCAGGCCGTGTGACTCGTTTAGCAGAGCGGTCCGTCGCAGATTACTTTTTCATGTTGCTTCGACTTCGGGTTTGGAAATCATGCCGGCTAAGTTCGCTAATGCTAACGCTAACGCTGGCGACTTTTACTCCAGTCGAGCCATGCAGCTGTGAAGCTTTTACTGAAATGCAGTGACTTCAACAGGAGCTCCTGTTCCAGCAGTGTCTCCTGCTGTGTTCTGTGCGGCACACATGCATGTAAAGCGGTTAGTCCCGCTCTCCCTCCGCTGAGAGTCGGTTAGCAGAACATGCCCCGCCGCGGTGCCCTGATGAGGTCGCCTGTTTGAAACTCTGACGTTAGTAAATGGCTTCAGTTTGAAGTGGAAACCAGCTGCTAGTGTCGCCGTGTGCCTCACGAGAAACCCAAGAACAGCCCTGTGTTTATTTGCTTCTGTTCAAATGTCCATTTGCGTTAAACAGCGGTGCCTGTCAGTCATATTTGCAGGAAGCCGGTGCCAAACTATCACGTTCTGTCCGTGAGCAGCAGCTGTAACTTCACTCCATCAATGGCTCATTGAACTCGAGCGCTGCTGCCGGCCTGCCACTCCAGTTTGTTTGTTCTTTTTCGTGAATACAACGAATAAGCGAGAGCTGGAGGATATAACGAATGTCATATCATGATATGTTTTTTGTCTGATATTTTTAGAACCGACAAACTAAGCCCACATTTTAAAAACACCGCCAGAGATGTTTTAAGTCCTGAATGTGTCTACGATGTGCTCAGAAAAGCGTATTGAAATGTAATTTATCACGACGTCGATAAAATCGTCATATTGTCTAGATTTAGAACAAGTCAACAGAGCTCTGGTTACAGTACGGATCTGTAATAAAAAAAAATAACACATACAGCCAGTGCGTAAAACAAGTATCCCAGTGATTAAAAAAGGAAAAATATGAATGAAGAAAATATGAATGAAAATAAAATAAGCAGAGAAGTGCTTAAACGTGATTTAGCATGACGTAGAGAATAAATAAAAGGACATGATGCTAATTTCCTTCATTTATTTAACATGGATTGTTAAATCATTTCATCAGTCTAGTGTTTTAACTTCATGTGACTTTGATAGACCGCTAGTAGGAGTTGTGGTGCCACTTTTGAGCTTTCAGTGCAGTCTTTTGAAGGGGAATTCCACCAATTTTTCAAAATTTTGCATAATTCAATCGTGAGATGTAAACAAAGCCACACTCAGAGTTGGTTAAGAAGTTCTCCAAAACAAGACATCTGAAGCTCCCTCTAAAGCTACTTCACAAAGAAATGTGTTAATGTCCTTGAGCACTGAGACCGTGTTTTATGGTAGTTTTTATAAGGTTTTAGCCTAAATTGTATTTTTTAAAATGAATTCATGGTGGAGAGATACATATAGGGTGTTGTAAGCAAAATAACCCCACCCCCCCGATTTACTACTATTTTACCATTATCAACATTATGCATAAGCACTCAAGGCACGTATACACTCTCAGGGTTTTTGGATAGCAAGCAAAATGTCAAAATTTGGGGAGTCTAGTAGTTGCAGTGTACACTTTGCAACTCCTAGTTCCTGTCACAACTATTGTAAATAAATCTGAGACAGTAAGTTTCTCTGTCAAACCATTGAGATTGTTTGCTTGATTGTTTGCATCTCAGTGATTGAATTACACAGAAAATTTTGTGAACTTCCCCTTTAAGTCTTAGTGTAAGCATCTGATGAAATTTCAGTGTCACTTGCATATAAAGGAAGTGAGTGTTTGTGAGAAATAAAGACTGTAGCTTCTGAAATTGGGTACTTGTACTTTAAATGGTTTGGAATAAAAAAAAAAAGGTCCAAAATCTTCACCAAATAGTAAATGAGAAGTGTGTGGACATATACAGCACTTACATAGTGCGCTGTTTGGTGTAAAAGTCTTATTTCATGATCTATGTGGGGATAAAGGAGCCACTTTAAATTCAGCCTATTTTCCTGGATTGAGAGGCAGATTGTAACTGTGCACTCTCTGTTTGCCAAGTTACTAGTTTTATTTCAGCACTAGCTGGAGACATTACTAATTAGCACCCAAATGCTGTTTAAGACAAATTGTGTTACTGCTTGAAAGGATAATATATAAAAAGGGTAAACTAACATAAACTAGACAAGGTTTCTGTTTATAATTCCATGAGTGTTGCAGAGGAAGTAGTGGTGGTATATGTATGGTATGTGTGGTGGGATTGTGGGCCTCATGAAATTAGGTGCGGCCTGGTAAGTAGGAGTCGGCGATATGGCAAAAATATGTTTGTGTGTTTTGAAGTATGTTACAATGCTTCAAGAAATTTTCATGATATATTTTCATGTTATATATTTTTCTGACATCTGAAATGTCAATACTGTCAAACTTAGAATACAGATCATTTTTGTTTAGCGTTTCACATATGGTGCTAAACCGAATCCACGTTAACAGGCCTAATTATAGTCTCTTTGCAGTGAAACATGCAGTTAGTGTTCTAGGAGTACTGACAATATCCAATATTGAAATCTCTGTAGTATGTTGCTAATTTTGAAGTTTTCTTATAGGACTTTGAGCTGCCATGCCTGCAAAAAGAGCTACAAAGAGGCTAAAAGAGAGTACTACAGAGGACTCAGCAACCTTGAAAAAAGTGAAAGGTACTCTTTAAGCTTTGAATAGATGATGCTGGTTTCATTTAACAAATACACTTAGTTGATCACAGGTTCTATTAACTATTTCCAAATGGTATATCTTAATGAAATGAAAATGGTGCATATTATGGACCAAATAGCATCAAGACTCAAGGAGGTGGCATTTGTTAAATCTTTCATCTTTCTGGTTTGTTTTTGTGTGTGTCTGTAGTGTCCCACAAGAGTCATGGGCAGGAGAAGGGACTGGTCCTTGTGCTTGGACAGGGTGATGTAGGTCAGCTGGGCCTGGGAGAGAATGTATTAGAGAGGAAGAAACCAGCCCTGGTGTCCCTTCCAGAGAACATTGTGCAGGCGGTGGCAGGGGGCATGCACACAGTTTGTCTCAGCGATACAGGAAACGTAAGTACTTAGATGTATACAGTCAAATAAAAAAAAAGTTTAGATGCCCCTGGTCAAATTGCATGTTTTGTTGATTTAAGTGAAAATAAGTTAGCACATCCTCTACAGAGAACACACTTCTGCACATTTTACTGCATAACTTCTGTTCATCCACTGAATTTAACATATCAGGGAAAAAATAAAGTCCAAAATGTGGCCTCTGCAAATGTTATGGCACATTTCAGATTTTGTTTCTGATAAGTTAAATGAATAGAGAGATTCATTTGAAAAAAAAATGCTTTAAGATTGTTACCTGTAGAGGATGTTAACTTATTCTCAACAAAATCAACAAAACATGCTGTTTAACCAGGAGTGTTAAAGTTTCTAGATGTATTTAGCAAATTTGACAAGCTCTTATGTCCTGATACAGTGCTTTTACTTCAATATGCTGTGGTTTTATGGACTGTTGTGAATGTTTCTTCTCCCTGATGCAGATCTACACATTCGGCTGTAACGATGAGGGCGCTCTGGGTAGGGATACATCAGAGGAAGGCTCGGAGATGGTTGCAGGGAAAGTGGAGCTAGCTGAGAAGGTGGTGCAGGTCTCTGCGGGGGACAGCCACACTGCCGCTCTCACAGAAGAGGGAGCGGTCTTCATCTGGGGCTCTTTTAGGGTGAGCCAGTAGTTGTTTTCACTAAGAAATTTTGTTCAGTTTTCAGTTGCTGGTCATATCCTATGCTTTTGTAGCTCAGAAGGTCACAAGTTTGCTAAGTATAAGGACTATATGCTGTTTAGGTTTCACAAATTTTAATTGTATTTACTCCATTCAGTTGTAGTCACCAATTATATTTGAATATTCTTTGTATGAATAAAAAATAATTTGTTGCAAATATTTTCTCCTCTATTTGCAGGATAACAATGGTGTCATTGGTCTGCTTGAACCTATGAAAAAATCTGTCTTACCTGCGAAAGTCCCTCTAGATAAACCTGTGGTTAAAATAGCTTCAGGTGAGGATTTGGCTTGTTTTGTCATATTGGAAACATTTTATCATGATTCTTTTCTCTAACTAACGGAACACTTATGACTCTAATAAAAGGCAATGACCACCTGGTGATGCTGACTCAGAATGGAGAAATCTACACCTCTGGCTGTGGAGATCAGGGACAGCTGGGAAGGGTGCCAGAGCGCTTTGCCAACCGTGGGGGCAGGAAGGGATTGAGTATGTGTTGACATTTTTATGATTGTCTAAGGTTTAATGTGTAAAATAGGTGATTGCATAGTTCCTCTTTGAGGTGCTTTGAGTATTTGTAATTTTTTTATTTATTGGTCTTTTCTTTCCTCCCACGTAGTGAGGTTGCTAGAGCCACAGATGGTCATGGTCAAGCCACGAGGGAAAGTCCACTTCACTGATGTCTTCTGTGGGGCATACTTCACTTTCGCTGTCTCTAAAGATGGCCACGTCTATGGCTTTGGCCTTTCTAACTATCACCAGCTGGGTAGGTGGAATCAAAGTATACTTTTAAAGTGCATAAGTAGGGATTTGATGTTATCTAAATAGAGAATTGTTAAATTACTGCAGAATTAAAAGTCCAGTATTTCCCATTGCTTGAACAACCCTTGGAGGTGGTGATGGTGTTGAGTGTGCCCCCCCCCCTTCCCCTTAGTTTTTCATCAGCACAAATCGAAGAGCTGTTAATTCTGGTGTTCAAATAGTGCTTTTATACTGTATCTTTAGCAGTACTTGATCAGCCCTATTCCATTCTTTGCTTATAATGCAGTTGTGTTTTTTGTTTAAGGTACCCAAAGCACAAATACATGTTTTGTACCAGTAAAGCTCACTGCTTTCAAGAATTCCACTACCTCATGGGTAGGTTTCTCCGGAGGCCAACACCACACTGTCTGCTTAGACTCTGAAGGTAACTGCACATTTTGAACTGCAGACTTTTAGAAGTAATAGATGGTCGGCAGTCTTGGGCTCTTGGATGGATTATTGAATTGAAACAGTATCTTGATAATTAAAGTGCGTTCTTTTCTTCCAGGGCACGTATACAGTCTCGGTCGGGCCGAGTATGGACGTCTGGGCCTAGGAGAAGGTGCTGAGGAAAAGAGTGAGCCTACGCCAGTCACAGGGATCATTGGGGCCTGTGTGGTGGCTTGCGGCGCGTCTGTGAGCTATGCCGTCACTAAACAAGGTTGGAATACATAAATGATTTTTCTGTTATTTTGATGTTAAAACAATTGTCTATTTGAATGACATGAATCAAATAATGATACCTCAAGTGTATCATGTAAATGAGGCAACTGGCTATTTAGCACAATTATGCTGTGGAATTTTGGTTTGGGTGCTTTTACTTGGCTTACATTACTTACCTCATTAAATTTCAACTGATCTATAAATTATAAGTTTATATAGATTTCATATTTTGAGCAAAAATCTGCCCTTTCCGATCTTGGGCAATATTCCGGTTGTGTGTCCCTAGTTAAAACTTTGCCATTTTTACATTTCTGATATTTCCATTGTGATCAGTGATTATTTTTTTCATTGTTTTGTATTTGAATATACCATGTTTAATGCATTGCTTAATATATTCTGACCTAAGAAAAATTTCTTTGGACTTGAGTGTTTATGTAGAACTAGTAACCTCTGGTCAATTTTTTTTATTGTTAGCCTTTTTTGTATTGAATTTCATTGTCTGTTTTTGTTTGTTAGGCTCTGTGTTTGCTTGGGGCATGGGCACCAACTTGCAGCTGGGTACAGGCGAAGAGGAGGATGTGTGGAGTCCAATGGAGATGTCAGGAAAGCAACTGGAGAACCGGGTAGTTCTCTCGGCCTCCAGTGGAGGGCAGCACACAGTCTTGCTGGTCAAAGACAAGCAGGAGAGTTGATATTAAACCCAAATATTGTGGAGCTAGGCTGAACTACTGTGTCAGTGGTAACTGTAAAACCATAGCTTGAACTGGGATGGGGAATCTGGGGTTGCTAAGACTTCCTGTACTGAACCAAGCCAGCCAATTGGGCGAGATGGTGACGTGATGAGGGAAAGATGGGTGGGTCTCATCTGATTAATCTTTTTTCCACTTTCTGGAGAACTCAGATCTTCACTGGATGTGTTCCAGTAGATAATGATCAAAGAGACTATTTTTTTAAAACTATTTTTTGCTTCTTTTTCTTAATTCTTTTTAATGAGAATCAGTATGTAGGCATTGTGGGGATCGCCAGCTGTGAGTGAACATGTGCATGTGTGTGCTGAGAAATTATTTCATCATTGATCAGGTCTTTTAGAAAGTTCCCTGCAATGCAGTTTTAATAGTTCTTTTTTTGGTGCGAGCAATAAGTCTATGCATCTGCAATGTGTTCATTACATTTTTACAGGAAAAAAATTCATTTGATATTGCTGTAAATTGTATTACGCTGTTTTCCTAAAAATGCAAATACAAATTGTTGATTGCATCCATAATGTGCTGGCCCTATGGGAAGTGTAATAAAACTTTAAGTCTTTCCAGAGTTCTGATTTTTTTTTTAAAATGTATTTTATTTTATTTTTTTTACTATTAACTAGAGAACTGGTATTGTGTTTGCCCTATAGAAATTTTTTAGAGGTTAAAGATTTAATTCATTGTTTAATCTGTTAATCACTGACTTAATCAGTGGTATAAGTCAGCCCATGTTTATCATATAGAGGATTTCTTTTGTGTTTGTTTTAATAGAAAATCTCCTTTCATTGTAGTGAATTAGGTGTTGCTGCCTCAGGGTTGCTTCTCCATTATGTAGAAATGAAATGATCTTGTACAAAAACTTCCAAACCAGATTTTGCCAGTGTTTTTTACTATTACCATAATGATGTCAGTCATTTAATTTTGATTAGGTTAGTGGTTTCTGGTTATGAAGTAAGTGTATTCACTGGGTTGTACTTGGCAAAGCAGATTATGCGATGCCAAAATTTCCTAATCATATAGAAGTTGCCTCGAAATGAGGATAGGATGTCTTTATAAAATTCAGATCAAAGCCTGTCTAATTTTTGAGGTGTGTAGGTGTGTGTGTGTGTGTGTGTGTGAGGGGGGGGGGTCTTCTGTGTTTCCACAGTGACTCATGCAGAGATTGTGTAGGGTATTTGAGTGAAAAGCCCTAGGCTTTTTTTTTCCCTCCTGAAACCTTTGAAATGCTAACAGCCTCTTATGCAAGCACTTAATTGGTCACCATCATTTAGTCCTCTTGTTTTTGTTGATGGTCTCCCCCCCCCAACGAAGTCCTGTTTCTTTTGCTAACAAAGTCATATTTTCATAGAAAAGAACTCTTAACAAACCTTTCTTTGTTTTTATTTTTTTAATACTGGAATTATTATTTAATTCAATCAGTTATCATTAGTAAGTTCAGGTACTGATGGATGATACTAACTCATCCCAAAATTATTAGATGGAGCTCCATCCCTTTTAGGGAATGCAGTTTGACTGAGCACTAGCTTTATACTCTTCAGTGCTTGCCATTGGACATATAGGCTCATGTGCAGCAGCTCCAGGCTCCAGCATCGCAGCTCTATTAGCAGTGCTTTTCTATGGAAATTATGAAAGCTGTGTGAGCAGCTGAACACCTGTGTCTGGAGATGGGTGCATCCTAAAACAGCTGATTTCACTAATTAGGAGGGGTGCCTGGATACTTCTGGACAAAAACTCTTGAGGAAGTGAGACAAGCCTAAAATATAATGGTTCTGGGCTTTTCAGCGTCCAGATTTAAACCATATAGATAATATTTGGTCTTACAATAAACATAAACTAGCTTTACAATGTTTTTCAGCTGTCTGAAGCCATCAGTGCTGAGTGGAAAAAATATTCATTCTTTTTCTATCAAAGCAAAGGAAACAAATATCCCATAGCAAGTTTCTTTCTCTATTTGTTTAATGATTTGTTATGACCAAAAGCTTAATATTTAGCCATTTTGGGCTTGGCCACTTTTTTTGCATAGGACTGTAGTTTACTAAGAATAGAATTAAGAGGCTGGCTGTGTCGCCAGTCATTGATCTTAGTGCCAAAAACAGTGGATTTTCAGATTAGCACCATCACATATGAATGTAGGTATACTCCTATACTCCAACCTTTTTGGATGCTATGCATGGTCAAATTGATTCTAATCTAAAATGGCCTTTAGAAACTTTTTCCACTGAGGCAATTTTTCAGTTTCAGCAGGATTTCGAGTTCACATTCTCATGAACAGACAATGGAAATAGTGGAACACTAGACATAAGAGATATCAGCAAAAAATGAGTTCGACTGCTTCTTGTCTTCATGGCAGCTTTAATCCTCCAATGAATGCCATGATGCAGGAGATTGAAAAAATATTCTAATTCTTTCAGAAGACTTGATTGTGCTGAACAGCTGGTAGCAGGTGAGATAAAGGCTTCTACTGGCATTCTGAGAAGAGAGAGCTGGTTAATGAGTAAATGATGGCTCATCAGACAGTATTTTCTTTCTATGTTCTTATGGTCTTTATTTTGATGTTCGGTGTGGTTTATTTAGCCTTAGCCAGTCAGCTATGTGTTAGAAGTGGCCTCCTTTTCATACATATCAACATGGGACAGCCAGTGAGGCTGTTGGCTGAAGTTTGCGTGAAAGGGATGTTAAATTCTGTGAGCATTTTTAAGATTGCTTCACAATTTCTGTGAGCTCTTTTCTAACTGCTGCATTTCTCACGCAGCTTTTCACTCTGTTAACTGTATCATTTTGTAACTCAAATTTTGTTAAAATAGTTTTAAAAGGTAAACAAGGCTGGTGTTAATCTTACAATAAATAAAAACACTCGCTTGTTGCATCAAGGCAGTCTATTTGATTAATTCCTTATTGTTCTTCTTTAATCTGGTGCTTTATTGTTTTGTATTGTTTCCCCCGTGTCTATTCAGTCTACTTAGACACAAGTGCATTTTCCACTAGCAAACTAATGATGCCCCCTCTTCACTCCCACCCACAGCGTTTTCACTGATGTTGCTCCCTCTGGCATGACTAATATGGGGCTATGTAAGGTGGTGTGCAGGTTTTGATCCTGCTGATGAAAGTACTTACTGTCAGGGCTTCCTCACCATTATAGTGGCTCTCGCTGCTGCTTTTCACCCACTCTCCGTCTCTAAGTGCCTGAAAAAAAGCTCTGCTCTCTGACATCCTCCCTATTATGGAATGGCACTCAAATCCTTGAGGAAAATATAAAAAGAGTATGTCCAGGTGAATATGTGATGTTTGGATACTTACCTTATTATGTGTTTGTTGTTCCACACCCATTAAAAGCACTATTAAGTGCTGCTGGGGATTGTGTCCCAGCTGTGTCGTGTGGCTTTTCATGAATCATTTGGTTGTGTCATTGTATACTTCTTTTCTGTCTGTCTTGCTCTGGAATATGATGGACGATTGAACTAAAGTATCCTTATGAAGTAGAGGGGGAAATGTAGTGTGTTTATTTATTTAATGCTTGTGCTGTGTGGCCAGAGCCTCAGAAACTCTTGGTTATTAGCATGTCTGAGGAGAGTAGCAGTATATAACTATATATAATTAGACACAGTAATTGTTTTATATATATACGGAAGAATTTGAGTTACTGCGGACCAAATATAAATGTTCACATATTAAATGCATTTGTTTTACTTTTGTAAAAAACCCTATTATTTAAGTTTTTATATAAAGCATTAGATATGAAAGATCTGCCAAAGAGGTTGAGTTTCTTGTCAAAGTTTAGGTGGACGAGCCACAATATCTGCACAAAGTGTCAAGAAAACATCAAGAATAATGATGGTATATTTAAAAATGTTGCATCACATAGGAACAGCAGTGGTTGAAAACTGATGCTCTCTGACAGTGAAGGGCAGACAGTTAACAGAATATTTAAAAAAAAAAAAATCTGAAAAAAGCCACCCTCCCTGTCCACCTTCAACCAAAACTGTGCATCTCATGTTGATATTTATGACTGCTATTTAAATCCATGCACTACATGGCCAAAAGTATATGGACACCGGACATCACATGCTTGTTAAGAATCACATTCAAAAGCAATGGGCATTCATTTGCAGTAGGTCTCTCCTTTGGTGCTTAAAGACCCTCCACTTTTCTGGAAAAGTTTTACAGTACATATTGGAATGACTCATAGATGATAGCTTTCATTAAAACTGACCAATTATCTGTGAACTGCTATTTTCTCATTCAAGTGGACTATACATCTGCAGAAAATACTCCTTTGTTTTGCTAGCAACATTAGTAAGAGGCCATGCTGTGCTGGATTTGCCAGTAAATTGCCCATGAGATAAGGAGCTATTACAACAATATGTGACCCATCTGCCATACAATGTCTAAGTCAAGAGTTTGTTAGCCAAATAAAAGCTTTTTGATTTTTTCTCATATTTAGTAGATTGGAATTATTGTGCTGCGAGACTTGACTTGCAGTCACCATTTCACTTCATCCTAAATGTATTTGATGGGGTGCAAAACATTTCCTTACGGACTTTGCTTTGCGCACAGGAACACAGTCGTGCTAAAACAGTAAAAAGGTCTTCTCCAAACTTGTTGCCACAAAGCTGGGGGCACACAGTTCTAGAATATCATTGTATGCTGTAGTTATTAAGCAGAGCGAAGTCTGTCACTGATTTATGTTATTGAATTCAGAACCGTCTGCCAACTGTGTTTGCACACTGTGGAATTAGACCTCCGCATTTAACCCATCCGTGCAGTGAAACACCCACATACATGCACACTAGTGAACACACACTAGGGGGTAGTGAGCACACTTGCCCGGAGTGGTGGGCAGCCCTATTGAGCGCCTGGGGGTTAGGTGTCTTGCTCAAGGGCACTTCAGTCATGGACTGTCAGCCAAGGGGATCAAACCAGCAACATTCCGGTCACAGGGCTGGTTCCCTAACCTCCAGCCCATGACTGCCCCACGACACAACTGTTATTACCTCTTGAACGTATGAATTCAAGATATTTAAACCACAACAAATTTGTGGCAGAAATTTTGAAAATGGAAAAATTTTGTCTTTAAATGCTCCTTTTTTCCCTCTCTCAAATCAAACAACAATATCTGTTGAAAACTGGCCTTAGAAAAACCTCTCTCCTTTTTTAGCATAAGTTAGTTAGTGTTAAATACGTTTAATGTTAATGTCACCTCTTTACCCCATCTCTTATTTTCAGCTTGCACAAAACACATCCCACAACCTGGAGTAAATAAAACGTCTGAATAGAAAAGGGATTATGGTATATAAATGTTTCCATTTTGTGATACCACAATGCAATTTATGATATTTGTAGACATAACAAGATGTTACCTCTTAGTTTAATGTAGTCTTGGCTAAAGCTAAAGGCATTTATTTATCAAAGACACAAGCACATGGATCTATGAACTACATTTGTTCACTTATTTATTCACGTATGTATATGTGTATGCATATGTACCTATTCTGTCAAATGAGAAGATATGTGTTTTTTTGGTTTTTTTTTGGCTCCAAAACTATACTTGGCAGAATTTGATACTACATAGTGGTCTGATCTATGCCTATTCAGAAACCGTCTCCAATTCATGGATTGCTTTTTAGGTTTATTCTCACAATGTCAATACATTTTATCTTTGAGCCAATATACATCCAGTAAAACATCATATAACTTGTTCATATAATAATAATTAGATGCTCCATGTTTTCCATAGCAAATAATAATATACATGGTCATTGTTAGACAAATACACAAAGATGTCAAACAAAGTTTATGTAAATATCAAATCAACATTTTGCTTAGTATATTTAGCTCCAGTTGTCACAGATGCAGAAATAATAAGGCGATATACTGAAGTTCATGTTTGCAAGAGGAAACTTACTGAGCATCATCAGAGTCACACTGCAGAACACGACAGAAGGCAAAATCAGAACATCAAAGTCCTCACAGTTCTTCTTAAAAGTACTCCCAACAACAACATACTCATTTAATTCATCTACTGGCACTAAATACAGCTTAAAATATTTATAAAAAAATAATAAATACAGAGGAACTTTGCCACAAAAAAGCTCCACCAAGTACATGCTGTTATAAAAGAACTTGCAGTCACACATCTCTCTCATTTTAAAGTTCACATTCATTGTTTCACAGTCACAGTATATGAACTGCATGAGCATATTAACTGGTACAGAAAAATAAATGAATAAAATAAAAAAAGGTCTTCATAGAATCCTGAAAAATGCATCAAAATGTGTTATTTATTCTACGCTCACCAAAAATGGAAAATACTGTTAAAACACAAAATGCACGCACCATTTCCCTGCTTCATTGGTGAAAACTCTTCAGAATAATGAAAAATCTTCAGAAACGGCTCCAGTTGTGACATAAATCCAATGCTTCATTAAAATCGACCAAGCATTTGTAAACTGCTAATACATATCTGCAAAGAATGCTTGCTTGTTTTGCCAGCAAAGAACATGAGTAAGAAAGGCCAAACTGCGTTGATTTTGCCCTTGAGACAAGGAGCTATAACAACATTGTGTGATCCATTTGCCACACAATGTGTAAGTAAACAGTTTATTAGCTAAATGAAAGCTTTTATAAAAGATTTTTATGTTGATATTGTTAACTAAATCAGTAAGGTGACGATGACAAACAAAGCTCTTAGCGAAACTGCTAGATTTTAGTGTTTGCAAGATAAGCCAAATTATCTAATCATAATTTGCTGAGATAGTTTTTTGATACGTATCCTCATCTGCCTAAATAACCTCGTCCTTGCATAGGTTATCCTCAGTTTCTGTCTTGAAGGTCCTCCTCACTGTGATATTCTCTGTACTTTTTTAGAGCTCTTTGGAGTGAAGCCATAGAAGAACACCTTTTGTTTCCCCAAGGAACATTTCAATTCTTGGTTCATTTCTGTAAATGAGATGTGTGAATATGAACCAGTTCAAAGTTCAACGAACCTCCACATAACGTACAGGGTCTACCTTTAAGTCTGAGTATGATTCTTGCCAAGAGGCTGCAAAAAGCAAAAAGTGCCATTCATTCTTATAATGAGGTCTAACATTTCATCGCATTTAGGATGACTGTTCAAATTCCTCTTTCAGTGGTATAATCAAAATATCTATAAGTATCTGTACACTTCAGGAATTCCTTTTTATTATACTGAAATAAAGCAATGTGTCACGCTGCTGTTTGGTAGGTGCTCTGTATTTATAAGGAGTTTATAAAGACAAACCCTAAGCAGACCTGCTTTCACTCCTGTTACTTTTCCTAGTCTTTTCTCAAGGCACAGAAAGGCACATACAGCAACACTGCCAGCATGAGCAACTTGCTTCCTTTGGCAATCTAGCACCCTTTAGGAAATGGGTATTCACTGTTAATTTCCTTCAATTGTCATATACTGGCTATTAGAGCTAGCAAACAGGAAATTAAACAGAAATTACATATTTTATAACAGCAAGTCATACTTACAAACTGTTTTATACCAGATGTTGTTTTTTAATGTATGGATGTGTGAATTATATTGGTGTGTAGGAGTGAACAGGAGAAAATGCTTTACACTGTCTTAGATCTCCAGAAAATATAAAAGTTAAAGCCTAATGTAATTTTGGGAATGGATTGTTTTAAATATACCTAATACAACTGCAGTTTTGACACACTGTTTGTGACTGTTTTATGCAGATTGTTAAGGTCATGATGAATCTGCTGTATTTTTTGTGTAGGTCCATTTCATTTCAGCAGATCATCTCTTTAAAAACTTTTATTAGTATGTTTTTTCAGTACATCCATAAATCAAAGGTTTTGTTTGAAAGAAACTCGATTCCCACTGATAAATACATGGTGAGAGACTGAAAGAATTCTCAACCAGTGATAACTGGTTGTTAAGAAATTGAAGTTCTACATAAAGAGATTCAGAACTCAGTGGTTGAGATCTGAGTGCCCTCTGACTGTAGGTCCTGTTGCGTCCTGCTTGGTCCTCCAGGCAGCACCTGATCCAGCTCTAGTCATCTTGGCTTCTTCACTGAATGTGATGCGCCGCACACTGAGATGGGTTCTTGGGTGGCATTGCAGGCTCTGGAAAAGTTATTCCGCTCTGTGCAAAAACGAAAGGGCAAGCAAAATTCTCTGAAGCATCTCTTGAAGTTTTCATCAAGGAAAGCATACAACACTGGGTTTAGGCTGCTGTTCATGTAGCCCAGGGCTATACAAAAGTGCCAGCTGATGATCACAAGGGGGTTCTTCTGGTCAATCTCCACCAAGGTTTTTATTATTATAAAGATATGGATGGGTGTCCAGCAGATGATGAAGGCTGCCACTACCACCAGTACCATGCGGGTGATACGTCGTAGGTTCTTGTCCTTCTCTTTGGACCCAGACAGCAGACGCACACTTTTCAGACGCAGGATCATCAGTCCATAGCAGACTGTGATGACCAAAACAGGCACCACAAAGGCAAAGATGAATACGCAAATTTTTGTCACAGTGTCATAATACCAGTCCGGATCTGGAAATTTCAGCATGCAGACAGTTTTACCTAAGGAGAAAGATGGAAAGGTCTTTATATTATCCAGTAATGGGCAATATTAAGGATATCAAAGTCATTAGATCAGCAAATAATAAAGGCAATGTTTATAACTAGCTTACTTCCAAGGAAAAGCCTAGCCAGGAAATCACAAAACAAACCACAGCATTCTATTAGATAGGCCAGCTGTTGTGGTCAGGAAGCTGAAACTTACTTCCTCCTAACAGATTCACCACTACCAGTTTTTAAATGTAAACAAAGAATTCCCTGAACATATGAAAATAAAATTTGGAGTCCCACAAGGCTCTGTTTAAGGACTACTTCTGTTTTCCTTATACACACTGCCACTTATTTATAGGCATGGCATGGAATTACCTTCCACTGCAATGCTGATGACACACAACTGTTCATATCAACCAAGCAAAATGATGAACCCTAACTTAGTAAGACCAGGGACTAAGGAAAGAAAATCACAGACTGGGTGACAAGTAACTAAATAAAAAGAAAAGTAAAAAAACTACATTACTACTACTTGGTCCAAAGGTCTCTAGAAATAAGTTGACTGAATACATGCACATCTCAATGACTTGGCAGTTGTGTTATATGTAGATGGAAAACGTTGGTAGTGCTACTTATTCTGATTTCTCATTCAATGCACATATAGGTTACATAACATTACTAGTCCAATCATTGAAGATCAATTCTGGAAGTACATAGAAAAGTTCTGAAAGCACTTACCCTTGTCGGTCACTCTGGTCACTGCCATGACCATGATTGGAATACCAATGGCAGATGACAGAATCCATATGCAGACATTGATGATCTTTGCTTTGACAGGTGTCCGGAACTCAAGAGCTCTCACTGGGTGGCACACAGCAACGTAACGGTCTACACTCATCATCGTCAGAGTGAAGATGCTAGTGAACATGTTGTAGTAGTCAATGGCAATGACCACTTTGCACAATAGCTCCCCAAAAGGCCAGGTGCTCATCAGATACTTGGCACTCTGGAATGGCAAAGTGCTGGTGGCCAAAGCATCTGCCAGTGCCAAATTAAAGATGTAAATGTTGGTTGCAGTCTTCATCTTTGTGTACCTGTTGAAATACATTGAAATGTTGTACTACAGTGCTACAATACAGGACTGCAGTTTTTCAAATAATAATTTGTTAGCAACTATAATTTGCAGATATTAATTACTTTGGCTGTGGGAATAAAAACAAAATAGAATATTAATGGACAAATGACTTTGACTAATTACATCTGACCATTTTAAATAACAAAGGGCAGTTCAGTTGGTGACTATTTATTATCATGCTTCTTCATAGAAAACAAGAAGTTAAAACTGTGCTATTTACTTTATTTTGACTAAGAACTTAAATTATTTCAGCTGGTTTTTAAAATGGGACATTTATTCATCCTCTCATCCAGCAAGTCATGTCCATCTGGGATGTGTTTTAGAGTAAAAGGAATTCTTTCTATTCATGGATTTAACAGCTTTTTCAATTCTCATCTAATTAAGAGCTCAGAAACAGAAGAAAGTGACATTTTTGCTACAAGAAATGAAAATATAAACTATGTCTTACAAAAGGAATGAGATTTAAGCATATTTTATGATCTTCAAGAAATCTGAGGGGTTGTCAGTTTTAAATCAGCTGTTCATTGAGAGCAGCTGATAGTATCAGGCTTGTTGTGAACAGTAAACCAGTGTTTAGTTTGTAATGCAGTCCTACATAATGACAAGCTTTCATTGAATTAATTAGGCACTCTTCTCCTCTGTGAGTCATTGTGTAATGATCACTTCTTAATTATCTGGGAGAAATCCCTGAGCCTCAACCTGGCAACGACTGACAGTCAACAAGACTGAAAAATAGTTGTGTTTTAATGAACTGCAATGGGAAAAAAATATGTTTTTTTAAAGCACTGATATTTCTATGGGAAGGACATTTTAACCTGAAATATTTCATGAGCATCGTCTATTTCAGTTAATCTTAAATATATTTACAAAGCAGTACATAATTGTCTCTTCTGGTGGCAGGACCAGTGTCATATCCATTAGCATTTCATCCACTAGTCCTGGACTGTCTTTGATCTCAATGAAGCCGTACATAATAAGATATATCTTTATACTTGTTCATTAAAGGCGTTTGATCATTTTATTGCTTATTCTTGTAGTTTTCTGCATTATATTTATTGCTTTGTTTTTCACATTTTAAGGAATAACAGTGTTTTCACTCTTCTACAATATATCTGTCTCTTTATTAGTGACGTACAAGTGGACTTTTTACTTTCTTGGATCAGACCAATTGGGTGAGTTGGGATAAACTATACTAGTTCAGGCTAGTTTACTGCTGCTTCTTTATTATTTTTTGTCACTGTACAAAGAAAAACGTTTCTCCAAAATAGTAACTTAACAGGAGAAGGTAAAAATGTTCTTTACTTTTAATGTAAGTTATTGTAAAGAAGTTTTATTTCTATTGGTCCAGTCATCATGAAATTTTCACACAATGTAAAGGGCAGGTGCCAGGTTCAAATGATGTAGAAAAACAACAATCAACAAAAATGGAGATACATGTTTTTTTAGACAGCAACATTTTATTTCAGCTAAATTTCACTTAAACCTGAAGTAATGCACTCACTAAAGCACCGTATATTTCACATAAACTAACAAAGCTTCATAACTTATGTACAGTATGCCTTTGGTCTTTATTTTAGGAGTCAGTGGATGAAAAAAGCTCATAGTGATGTGGTGCAATAACATATGATGATAATTGCAATGTGAACAGATTTAATGCAATAAGTGGGTCAAAGAGTGCTGTAATATCTCTGCACTGAACTCCACAGAAACTATTATTCATTTTCATGAGCAGTTAATTTACAAAGCACGATCTGTCAAATCAGTGAATCAGACAGACCCCTTCATTTTTCTCTTTTGCAAAACTCTGTTTTTCCCTTGTCATATTTCATTATGTGCCAGGATTAAATTTGAGTTTGAAAGCCGCATCTCACAGTTTGAGATAATTGTGTCGGGCCTCGAGTGCCCTTGTGGATGCAAATGGGAACGTGCTCATCATGTTAGCAGAAAAAAGTGGGCTGGGGTGACGGTGTAGCACTGCACACAAAACAACTCCTGTAGTGCAAGTGCTTTGGTCACATGGCCTCCATCAGTGTTACATTTGCACTGCACAAGCACCTAGTGCACTTTACGTTTGACACGAAATGCCACTTTAAGTAGAATTTGCCATCACAATGTGAATGTTATTATTATTTAGTAGGTGTGGGATATTACGCAATGACAAGAAGGGCTCTAGAGTTGAAAAATGTTTTTGTTTCTTACAGGAGAGGATTCTTGACATTCAGTATTGTATTGATTGTCCATGTTCTGTTAGTATGTCTATTATGGGATGCTTTTAAAATGTGCTGATATGTGGAGAAAAGAGAGTGTTTGGACTGACTCCTACTGTGCCTGCTGAGTGGCAAGCTGTCACCACTCCCTTGAGGAAATCACAATCTCTCTCTCTTTCTCTCTCTCTCTCTCTCTCTCTCTCTCTCTCTTTGTATATATACAAACATATATGTATGTATATGTATGTATATGTGTACATGTGTATAGCTCCTTCTCTCTTCCTTTATCATCCTGCCACTCTTCTTCCCATCATTACTCCACTGAAATGTCACTGCACACATTGTTTGTCCACAGTGAAGCTCATCAGTGAGTTGTGGTTCAGAAAACCATTAGATTGCTCTTTGTAATGAAATCTCTCATTATCAGCAGCATGCAAATAACTTGGCTGTCACATCTAAACGCAGCAGTGGACATTAAAACAGTATAAAAGCTGCAGCACCTGACAATGACAGTCTTCTATTTAAACGCCAACTCCAGTGTGTTTTACTGGGTTAAATGCCAGATGATTCGTTGATAGAAATCGGCAGTGTCATTTACTTCAGAGGTACCCGCACCGGTCCTACACACTGAGTAAAACATGTAATGTGTGTGTCACTCCTTACCTGACCACGCCGTACATAACGAGCAGGTTTCCGAGGAGCCCCAGCACGCAGATGGCTGAGTACAACGCCGTTATGGAGATGGCCATCAGCAGGGCTGTGGATCCGCTCATAGCGCTCTGCTCTTCGCTCCTGTTGGTCAGAAGTCCGGCTGATTCTTCCGAAAAGTTGGAGTTGTAGGGCATCGCTGAATAGAAATCTTCAGCACCGCTTACAGTCACCGCTGGAAACTCCATTGCGCACCAAAGAATTTGAACGTTTTATTGAATGACTTCAGCAGACTCAGGACTCACGCTCCTGTGGTGGAGATGTGTGAGTGTGTGCTGTCTCTGCTGAGACTGTAGAAGAAATGACGAGTTTTCCGCTTTCCTCCAGTCCTCCCCTACATGTTTGGCTCTGCAGGCTGTTGTGGGTGTGCTGAGCACTAACGCGCAATTTAGAACCTCCCAGGAGACTCAGCTGGGTCTCTTTCTGATACTGTTTCGCTCAGCTGAAGCCAGTTTCACATTCACTTAAGAGTAGCTACTACACAGCAAGAGCTCAGCTCCCTATACTGAGGAATAAAGCTAAAAATCACAGCATGTTCCTGGTAAAAGCTAATATATAAATTGTGTTATTCTCCATATATATTCACAATTTTTTACCCATGGTAAAGACGAGTAAAAAGGGCTATAATAAATTCACCTTTTGGTGGATTAGCTTAATCTCACATTGAAAAATGAGAAAAATCCAAATTTAATTAAAGTAAATGCATTCTAGTTTAACAAAACCACAATTATTGGCACCCCTGCATTTAATACTTTGTAAAACACCACTTAGACTTCTCCTATAACATCTCATAAGGTTGAAGAATGCAGAGCAGGGAGTTTGAGATCCTTCCTCCACAGAATCTCTCCAGATCGTCCAGAGTCCTAGGTCCTCTCTTGTGCACTCTCCTCTTTAGCTCGCCCTACAAGTTTTCTATTGGGTTTAGATCAGGGGACAGACATGGCCATGGCAGAAGTTTGAGTTTGCGTTCAGTAAACCATTTTTGTTTTTATCTAGATGTATGTTTTGGATCACTGTCCCGCTGGAAGATCCAGTAGCAACCCATTTTTAGTTTCTTGGCAGAGGCAGACAGATTTTGATTTAAAATGTTCTGGTCTTTCATGGACTCCATGATACCATGTATCCTAACGAGGCCACAAGGGCCTTTGGAGGAAAAACAGCCCCACAACATCACTGACCCTGCTGGGGGACTTTATATCCCTCCAACCTACACTTGACATTGGGCATGGTAACCATGGGCTCATGTGTGGCTGCTTCAGAGTGTCCCATTCTATTGGCTCCACTTAGAAGGGATGTCTACAGACATTTGAACATATAGCGTATTTTGGTACTCCACCTGTTCTAGCAGTAAAAGCTAGTATCAGTGCTTCTTTATGTAACTTCATGCTGTTATTCATATTGGCCTATTATGACTTCTCTTTCTAGCATCATACTCCTGTCCTTGATGCTGAATAAGAGTGAGATCTTAGAGCCTGGGGCTGAGTGGACGGAAGGCAGTATTAGAGAAAGATAACCTTGTCCAAGGTGCTGAATTTTCCTCTTATGATCAAAACTCCATTAATAGAGTCCTATATGAGGACTTTAGCATGCATAGAGAGCTGGTGCTGTTGAGGCATGTGATTGGGCTCTAGAAAATCAGAACAAACTCAATGACTGATGAAAAATATGAGTGATGAAATATGATTAAATTCCTCATGCTGTTGCAAAATATGAAGGGCATCAAGTTATTGGTTCTGCTGTAGCATCTTAGTGAGAGTGAATTGACCTAAAGTTAGAAAAGCCTTTAAAGAGTTTTTATACTTTAACATTAGTCATCTAATCATGCTACTCTGCATCCATCTTATGGGAAATCTAACATCAACACCATCATAGCAAACACTGCTTGAAGCACAAATAGCAATTTTAAAATTTTAAGGCTGCGTTCATAAATGTATGTGCATGTTTGTGCTGACTGTGGGTCCCTAATGCATTTCCAGCTACAGAGTTAACCAGGTTCTAACATTAGACCTGGAAAACAATAAAGCCATGAAATTTGTCATCTTATAATATAAGACTATAATATGTCTGAAATCACCTCCCACTGGTACTGTGGTAATGTGATTCTGTGGAAAAGCCTGCGGAAACTGAGCTTTAACAAATTATTAAATGAGAAAATGACTGCATAATGGATAAACATGAGATCTGATTCATGAATGATAGACATTTTCCCTGTTCAGCACTTGCCCTTTATATACCCAACACACTTCATAGCACTTTGTCATCTACTTTCTAACATGTCGTAAAGGGGGATATCAATTTTCTGCCATGACTGAAGTAACTAAAAAGTAATTGTCATTCACTCACAGCATATTCCACTAATGTACAGTAGCAGTCAAAAGTTTGAATGCAGCTGACTGACTGTTTGTTTAGTCATTGTGATCTAAAGGACTAGGTGTAAATGCTTGAAAGTTACATGAAGCTGCTTGAATGCCCAAAGTGCTGCACCAAGACAAACAGTAATGTTATGAGGAATAGGAAACATAAAGTTATGATGTTTTTGTTCTTTGGTATTTTGTAGTTTTGATGTCTTTGTTACTATTCTAAAATGTGGAAATAGTAAAAGTGGCAGGGTCTGTAAAACTATGCCATGCCATGTTCCACCTGTCTGTAAAGCCCTTTAAGCTGCCACCAATGAAAAGTGCTCTTTAAATATTTATTATTATTATTATTATTATTATTATTATTATTATTATCCAACATAAAATACAATTTGGTCGCCAAGAAATATATATGAAATAATATTAATATATTAATGAAATAATTATTGTGTCTAGGACAATAAACAGTGTGTGTGTGTGTGTGTGTGTGTGTGTGTGTGTGTGTGTGTGTGTGCGTGTGTATTAAAATTTCTCATCTTCACCTTTCTTATCATATCTATTAGCTCAACAGCTCCTGAAGCTCCTGACTACTGAGAAGGAGTGCATTATCATTTTTATTTGTTTGTTTGTTTGTTTGTTTTGTTCTCTACCATCAACAAGTTAGGTGTTTCTCTTCTAAAGTGTCCTTCTGTACTACACAGGGAAAAGGAATGGCATCTATCAGGCAGTAAATGTGGTCTGATAGATTGCTGCTGTGTGAAACTGCACGCTGCCATATCTGGATGACAGTGAATGATGGATCTCCATTACACATCATTTAGAGTTACACAACATGCTTAGTCACTGTGGGAACTGTTGATGTCAAGCTGGCTTTCAGTTTCCTGCCAAACTGTAAAATAGATCCTCTTTTCTGTGCAGTGTTGTTGCTTTCTACCCCTATTTATCAGTTCAAACAAATGATGTATTTGTCTTTTTGTCTAACATTTCATCTTTATGTCAGTAACTATGTACAATATGGGAATTCAACACCAAATGATAGATATTAAAGATTTTAGGGAGTGGGAGATAATCCTTTTGGTCTTTATGCAAATATTCTCCAACAGGGAATAAATGTCTAATTACTTTTTAAGGCTCTTGATTACTTTAAGCTTTTATAAGACTTTCATGAGACTGCTGACCTTTTCTGTGGATTAGCATTTGCCTGGTGTTTACTAAGCTCTTTATTTTCACAAATCTCAAGAGAATAAATTACACATGGATATTTTTAGTAGAATTTAATAAATGATGAAAGAAAAGAAAAAGAAAAATTTTCATCCATCATAACATTCAGCAAATATTTCAAGATACTTATGCAAACATCATAAAAGTCACACAGTCTGATATAATACTACAAAAATTATCATTTCATTTCAAACAAGCAGGAGCACACCAGGTTCTATTTGTTTAATCAGTTGATCTCAGTCTTTGAACAGCTGATCATGTGTGCTTTTGCTTTGTTGGACTAAAAAACCTACAGCCACACTACAGCTTTGCAGATAAGACTGGACACCCAATCATAAGATGAGTTGTCATGGGAATCTATTAGTCAACACTTATGTGATACATGTTTTACTCTAACTCATAGCTTTTTTGGAGGGCACAGGATCACCTAATTTTTGATTCCATGCTATATCAGTAGCTGTCAGTAGCTCCCAAGATGCAAATGCAAACAACAGGTTCTAACCAGTTATTAATGTCACCCAACTAATAAGTGACTCAACACATATAAAGAGAAAGTAGCAGATCTCAAGAAACATTGGAGCCTGCTGCCTTAAAGCTGCACAAAAATAGCCTATCCAGACCATCCCACTTCCCGCATCCAATCAGGTTTCTAGCCATCTTTTCTCCATATTACTATAGGAAAACTACACTTGACCTTAAACGTGCAATCAGCAATTATGAAAGGAAAACCCTGACCTTTTCAATACTGCCCTGCAGAATCTGAAAAATAGCAAAGTAATACAGAGCTTATGAAACATCTGGGACCCAAAGCTCTGAAATGGCTGACCCGATTCTACACCAAAGTTATAATCACAAATGCAATTATGTAGATTTGATAAAGAGTTAAAATCATTGCTTTTTCCAAAGACTGAAAAGGATCTTTTCAGCTGGCATAAAGCTTTCCTGCTAAAGTAGTCTAACCTCAGGCAACAGACTTTATTGGAAATCTGCTCATCTGCTCACCATTTGCAGGTTAAGATAATCTAGAAGTAATTGGAAAAGACATATAAGTACTCTCCCACAAGGTTCTGCACTTTCCCCAGGTGATGATATCTGATAATCAGGTATACTGATGATATCCAGGAATATATTGTACAACATGGCACCTTAATCCAAGTTTGTTTTGTTTTGTTTTGTTGTGTTTTTTTTGTTTCATAATTTCATAATCAGTGGAACAGTACTGTGCCTAGCACCTATTTGGCTCAGACACATGCTTTACATGGACACTATTCTAAATAGAAACATAACTGTAATCATGAACTCTGATTCCCTGTACTGGCGAATATGAACCCTTTATCCATAAGGAGCAGAACATAAGTCACCAGCTCCTATACTGATTTGTGTACCATTCAGACAGCTAATCAGGAAGAAACTTCTGAGCACTTAAATTTCACAACCTCTTGGAAAAAAAGAACTCACATCATGCCATACCCCACCCAATAAGCCTCCCAAGTTTCCCCTGATTCAGCCTCCTAAGACGAAAATACTCAGTACTGATTTTGCACTGGCCGTGGCCTCATCTTAGCTCATGTTTACTGATGAGGTAGCAGCCTAAGTCCAAAGAGCACAGC